CTAATAACAGAGATGCCCGTTCTGCAGCTTCTGGAAGCTAACGATCTCAACTTCTTACTTGGCTCGCAACCAATCGTCTCGCATCCCCGGATTTTGCTGTTGCTATTTGCCTGAGAAGTTGTTCCTTCTTCTCCAGTTTCTCGCCCGTGACGGGGGACAAAACCGCAGTTTTTTCTCCACGCCGTGTTTCACTATCCCTGGTTTCCGGAGACGATTGTCTCGGACCACGACCCGCGGTTCATTCTGCGTTTTGGAAACGCTGTTCCCTTTACTGGGAACTCGTCTGCAGATGTCCACTGCGGATCATCCGCAGACAGACGGCCAAACAGAGCGCGTCAATCGAGTGCTCGAGGACACTCTGCGCAGTGTGTGCGCGGCAGCGCCACGTACGTGGTCGACGCAGCTTCCAGTTGTTGAGTTTGCGCTCAACAACGCGGTGCACGCGTCCACGGGGTTCACGCCGTTCTACTTGAACGGCTTCCGCCACCCCAGAGTGCCTCTCACTCTTCGAGGAAACACTGACTCCTCTATTCTAAGTGGGGGAGAGGCTCGGAAAGCCCTTTCCTCCCAGGTCTCGGATGTGAGGCCAGTTTCGCTGCGGAAACAGGTGGAATCCTTTATGGATACCAAGCTGAACATTGTCAGCAGGGTCCGCGATGCCATGGCAGCGGCCCAAGATAAACAAAAGGAGTACTCGGACAAACAAGGAAGAGGAAACTTAAGTATATTTGAGATTGGTGACTTAGTGTTACTAGACACGAGGAACCTACCTCTAGACACTGTTAGCTCTGTCGGCAGCAACAAGCTGAAGCACCGCTTCATCGGACCTTTTGCAGTCCTGGCCAGACATGGTGCGTCGTACACCATCGACCTTCCAAAGTCAATGACGACGCACCCGACGTTCTATGTCGGACGTCTTAAGCGGTACTTTGACCCGCAGGGGGTTGCTGACTCGCAGACCCCCCTTGACCCAGCTCCTCGAAGCGAGGGCCGGTCACAGTCGTCGACGAGGGCGTTGGAGCAGGCACCCAAGCCTCGGTCGGGACGGCAAGGCTGCGGTCAAGACCGTACGCCGGAGGGGCTCCATACAAACGGACCCCGGCGCCATACGCCGAGTACGCTGAGTACGCCGGGTACGCACCATACGCGTACGTCTGGGAGTGTGCCGCAGGCGGCTCCGGACGTGGCAACAAAGCCTCGATCCGTCGGAGCATGCGAAAGGCCTCGTCCAGATCGGACGAAGAGGCCCGGCGGTCCACCCGCAGGTGCAGGCTCGCGACCTCTCGCTCCACCAGGTCCAGGCGACCCGCAAGACGAGCGAGCTCGCTCTGATTCCCGGCCTGGGCGGCAGCATTACCGCCAGTCCCAAGGCCAAGTGCAATCTCAAGCACGAGGAGACGTTGACGGAGGCGGTCAACCTCAGGGTCCCGTGTCGGACCCGCAGTCGGAGCACTCGAACGAGAGTGGCTCTCGGGAGGCGCCGAGTACTCGTACTCGTACGAGGGCACCTCCGCCCCTGCTTGACCGGAATGGAGAAGTCCACTTCCACGTGGAGCGGATCCTCCAGGAGCAACGGTGTCGCGGGAAGCGACAGCTCCTCGTGAAGTGGAGGGGTTATGCCCACTCCGAGAACTCGTGGGAGCCGATTGAACGGCTCCTGATTGACTGCCCGAAGGCTGTCGCAATCTAGGAACAGAAGCGGCGGCAGCTTCATAAGTAGTCCGGGGCTTCTTGCCCGAACGGGGTACGGATGATGAATACATACCGTACCCGCGCTCATCGTGAGCGCTAGAAGCCGCGCGCTTCAGGATGTCCCTTGGCAGCATACGCTTGCTGATCAAGTGGGCAAACCTCACACGAAGATCACGCTGGTCCAGGATGTGGGACAGCTGCTGATCTTCATGGAGTTCCCATAACTCCGTGGGCGAGTACTTGAGAGTCTCCACCAAACGCCCAGAACATGCCCTCACAAGAACTCCACGTGGGACAGCTCTCGGGCATAACCCAGGGGTATCCCCAAACAGGATAGAGACCACCCCGGGTCTCGGGCTTCTTACGACAAGTCGTGAAGTCCTTAAGGGGAATGCGGTGTGGCGCGAGAAGCACACACCGAGCAGCTTCCAAGTTGTCAACGAGCAACTGTTCTTTCTGAACAAGGGCACGTTCGTAGATGCCCCTAGAAGTGTGGCCGCCCACAAGGCCACGAGGAGCGACGAGAAGCGCTAAGAAGAGGTCAGCCCCAGAGCTCTCCTCGGGAGGCCAATACCCTCCTTGACGGCCGGACTCTCAGAGCGCACAGACGTTCTGGGACTGTGATCACCTTGATCACTAGCGAGCGACTGCACGCTGTCATCTTTGTACACACTGGGCACTGAGCTGTGCCCTCCCACAGAGCATCGTGCGTGTTCTCGGACTCGGCATCGTCTTCACTGCCCGAGTTGAACTCACGTTCTACGAACCGAGGGTTCGGACGATTGTCTGAAGACGAGGGCGACGGACTGCGGCGCCTGCTTGCGCGCTTGTCCGCAGCCGCGTCACCCGAGGATCCGATCGCCTCGGAGGCCACCTGAGTAGCCTCCTTAAGTGCAGAGCCTTTGCCGTGAGGCTTAGTGCTCTTGGCCTGCGCCTTACCGGCTGCAGCCTTGGAGCGTGTCTTAGCACCGCTCTTAGCAGTGCCACGAGGCATGTTAACGGTCGAAGTGGAGACCTTGACGAAGAGCGCACAGGTTGCTGCTCGAGGCTCTAACTGTGAAGTGAGCCTCCGCCGCGCTCGCGCGGCCGAGTCGATGGTTTTCGACTTTGAGAATGAGAGTTTGTGACGAACATCTCTTCATTCTGATTGGTCGGTAAACCGAACCTAAGTGGGGGAGGATGTAACGGGGTACGTAGCACTAAGTGTACCCTGGTTACATGAAGTGTGACACTTCACACTTCAGGAGTATGACATGTCATACTCCGGGATATTTGGTACAAGGTACCAAGGTCATTCAAAACCAACCATTGGTTAAATGACATTGCATTTCTATAGGTAACTGATAGTTTGTATTAACCTCAAACTTAACCTACCTATAAATATACTCAGTTTACAATCTACCTTATTTAGGTCACTCCGCTCTCTTTAATTAAAGAGGGGACCTGTGAACTGCCGTTCACCGAGAGTTTGTATACTCTCGGAAGATAACTTCCTCTAGCGCAAGGTGCTGTGTGACCCCGTCACACTTTAGGACTCCTAGTAGGACGCATTCTCTCCTACCGAGCGGGCGACAGCTCGGGAGATTTGATTATCTTCGTGGCAGAAACTTCAAGATACTCGGAGAAGGCCCCGATGGCTGGAAATGACACAAGAAGTAAGACCACTGGACGTTGACATTGTGCATGTAGCAAGCAAACTTACACGAGTAGGCGACGTTGTCTCCGACCTTGATATGGCTCACACTTTGACCCACGTCAACAACAACTCCCGCTATAGACGAAAAACTCACCAAAGATTTAGCTAAAGACATTCAAAGTCGAGGGCTACAGTCGCTGCTACGGACCTGCTTCCAGGCCACATTTTACAGGGAGTGTGGTGCGTCCGTAGCCGCCGCTCGTGATGTTCACGTCTGTAGCATTGATGCCCAGGAAACGGTTCTCCACGACAACGTTCCCGGGGCCAGCGGTTGGTAATTCTGGCTCAACGACAATCTCTGGCGCCTTAGTGAAGTCAGTCGAGTACGTGTGCACTTGAATGCGGCGATAGGAAGGCATGGTGCTCTTCTAGTCGTGTCAATTAGAAAAATGACCTTTTGCTGGGGCACTTAGTCGATAGATGAGCTACAGTGCCATGCCTGACGCGAAGGGAGCTTTCGATCTGGTTGGCGCTTTGATGGTTGTTGCATAGTATGACGAATGCTTTGATTCACTTTTGATTTAATATGACGTAATATTACAGTATTACTTGTATAACACAAACATCAAAGAATGGAACACGTTATCAACGGCGGTACTTGGTCAGCTTGCTTTTATAGCTGGCAGCTTCGATTGAAGTAGTTCACCTGCGACGGCATCATCTAAATCGGTGCTGGTCTCGGCTGAATGGCTAGATCCCGAAGACGATGTCGAATTCGAGAACGAAGCTGCTTGGTTGCTACCAGGATTCAACTTCACCATCAAATGTTGTTACCAGGGAGCTTCACCACGGTCATGATACCCCTCAACGATCTGTGGCTGGGTGGTGCACCGCATTTCGGATGCAATGTCACTGAAAGAGGCAGAAAGAGGGGCACATTCGCCTGAATTAAAGTAGTTCTTTTCAGCGCACTGAATCCACAGCAGCCTGAAGGACGTCGACATCCCATCCGTTGAGGAAGCCACCGTGGAAACCAAAGCCCGTGCGATCGCCGTTAGCAAGCACAAAGGGGTGCTGATCTCCATCCCATTAGTCATCGTACTGAGCAACGTTGTAGAAGGCCTCATAGAAGATCTTGACCATTTTCTTCCAGCCCTTCGGGCAATTTCCGCCATCTAGTTCTGAAGCGTAAGACAAATGAGACTTGTGGTCAGGCGAGTCTAGATCGATGCCGTTCCAGCACATGGGAAAGTTAACTTGTCCGCGCAGGCCATTGGGGTACTTAAAGTTGGGAATGCCTTGTTGCTCCGGATGCGGGTTGTCGTAGTCAATGCATACCCACGTTATAGCTTTTTCTTCGATGGAATCTCCCTTCTCACGCAGCTTTGGGTTGCCCGCGAGCATCTTGAGGCCATCGGGGAATGCGATAATGTTTTCGTCTTTCGTCGGACGTGGTTGTTAGTAGACGATCTGGTGAGATCAAATCCAGTGCCATTCTTGAACTTGACATAAAGTTGAGGGACCCAGTAAGCGCTTAAGCCGGCACCGATGGGGCATGAAGCGCACGTGGATGCCTTCATGGCTGCGCCGTCGGCATCCATGCTGAAGCCATTTCCACCGCTGATAGCGTGCAAGTGACCAGCAGCCTCGCCAGGGTTCACGATGGGATCGACTCGGTCTACCACGAGGTTGTTGAAACAACTGAATCGGAACATGCTTCGAGCTGTCGGCAAAACTACAAAAATCGATATTAAACCGGACGCAGAAATCTTCATAATGGAGCAAGTTTCGGAATGATTCAAACAGACTTCTCTCTTACTTACCGGTAAGTGTACCATTTGGTAGCCCCTACTATACATGTACCATTTGATTGCAGCAAGCGCAATGTTCACTATGCCGGGTAGCCTGGGTGTGCAGCACAGCTGTGCCGTTCGTTTAGAGCACGTGGTAAATTATAGCGGAACAGTTTCTCCACACCAACGAAAATCTCTTTGGAGTCAGTGGTGCACTTCAAATGTCATGGTTGTACATCCAAATGTCATGGTTGTACATCTTGATACGGGATCTAGTGAAAGGAGACAGCAGTTTCGACGCATTCGTGTAGTATTAAATCAGATCAGAAGCGTCGCAACTTTGAAATTCACCAACAAACCACCCGAATGGCAAATGAACAGTAGACGACTTCCCTTCGAACAAAATCTTTTTAAGTGCCGGCTGTGGATCTCTCAATAAATCTGAAGCTGACGAAAACTTGCATTCGCGTTCTGTAGCACTCTTATCTGTGGACACTCTCAAGGCTTCGGATATGGATTGTTTGGCCTTGTGCTGCCTTCGTGAGTAAAGTGGCTCAGAGTCGTTTGGTGTCTCGAATGGATAGAGTATTGCTGTGCTCTCGATTTACTTCGAAATGAATCCTTGCGAACCTTGTGCCTTGTGGACGAACAAAACGTTCACATTTAGCGGTAATTAAAGGGCGGATTTAAAGAGCCGTCCACCTACAGAGTTCATCGCGCCGGGCTTTTGAGTGCATTCATGCCTGGAAAGAATCTGGGGATACCATTTACGAATAACGTAACATCATCTGCTTTGCTATTAGCGAAGCGCTAAGTTGGCAATGTCAACACCGTCGCCACAATGGTTAGTGCCAGTGACACAATTATTAAATAGGTCATAAGTTTTCCAAGTCCAGGTTCATTACTTCAACTTGGGCCATACTGAGCTCCAGATTAATCCGGGCAACGCTTGACATTCTAGCTGCACTGTGGGGTTTGCTGTACGCAGTCTCGCTACTTGCGTCGAGCATGGCATCCTGCTTTATTGCCGCTAGAGTTCACTACTGTGCTAATCCGCTGTGCGCTTCATCATCGTCTACTCCTTCTTGCTCGTGGCTTTGGTCGTTCTTCCGCGGTGTCTTCTTTTTGGACGCGTTCCTGTCCGGTTCATTGATCGACGTGAAACCTAATAGTGAGGCTGAACATGACGACGCTCTAGGCCTGTTAGGAGGGGCTCAGTCGTCCGCCATGACGTCGCCATTGCTCTCGTGCACCACTGTACTGGGGAACACAGCGCTACTAGGATGCTCGCTCTGGATGCTACCGATGACCGTTGAGCTGCCAAGACTCGCTCGCAATAGCATTGACCGTGGCCCCACTAGACAACATGAAGCGGCGAGGTCTTGTACATGTAGCAAGTGGATCCATGGTCTCATCACGGTGTCTTTAGTTTGTGAATCAACCACCAGTCGTATCGGATCCTCATCAGTGGCAACATGCTGCAGACTTTTGCATGATGTATGTGGTATCAGTCCCAGGTGTGATGGTCGCAATCACGAGAGCATCGGTGGATCTGTTGCATTGTCACCGCTCTACAAGCGCATAAAAGGCATCATGTACGCTACTCAAAACACAAACCATCACTGTACGTTTGCCTGTTTGTCGATATGATTGTGTGCATGCTTCAGTATCAGGTCGTATCTCTAAAATTATTGCTTAGCCATTTCGAGATACACATGCCGAGTATGCTTATTGGCGTAATCACGTTGCTGTTTTAACAACTCCGGCACAGTAATGTATATCGTGGTGAGAGGGTAGCCAGGAGTGTGTTCTTTCAGTCTCGCCGTCGCTATGTGCCAGACGAGTACATGTCGGATCCCAGACTAGCAATGGTGCATGCAGCCTCAGGACGCAGTCCACCACTACGTGTAGATAACCCAGTGTTTGTCTTCACAGTCGTCTACACATCTGCGGGGTTTCGAGGATGGCCCCATCATGCGTCGAGCCAACGATATACATAAAGATATTATTCGCGGATCACTCGCACAGTTCCGTGGATGTGAGACCCCCACTGCTGGCGATGCCTTCCAGCTCGCCTTCTTGATTATAAAGGAGGCGGTGGAGTTCTGCAAATGCACTTGCTCAGTGCCCAGTGGCTGAAAAAGCTGCACAACCACATTCCCACATTCCATCCACGCCATGAAACAAAGACAAAGCGTGCTCGACTGGTCTACGGATTGAAATGGGGATCCATGACGCACAAGAATCGGATATCCACCCTGTAAGAGGGAGAGTCACGTAAACTGGTTTGTCGGAAGTCATTGCAAGCGAAATTGTAAATATCGGGGCGGGAGGACAGATTTGCGTGACACGTCGAGTATCTAGCAGAGAAAAGCTCTTTGGTTGGATAGTAGCGACTTTCAGATCGATCAAATCGGGGAGCACCAAATCCCACAATTGAACATGGCGGTGGAGGGTAGACTCGAAGCGCGCTAAATAGAAAACTTTCGACAAGCATGGAGCGGACATCGTCAAATCTACCAAATGATTAAGAAGATGCAATGTTGGGTGGAGAAACGATGAAAAAAACATTTATTCGCGATTTAGTTCGAGTGCTTAATGCTACTCTAACCCATTCACCTTGAGAAATGCTACAACCTCATCAGTCAATGGTAAACTAGGTAACGCACCAGCATGCTGCACACACAAGGCACTCGCAGCAGAAGCCCGAAGCATGCAGTCCTGCAACGCACGACCCTCAGCAAACGCAACTACAAATGCCCCACGGTAGCAGTCGCCAGCACCTGTTGTATCCACCACATTGTCAACCTTAAATGCACTTTGTCGAAGCACCTTTGATCCATCAGCAGGGACGAATACGGATCCATCCGATCCGAGTGTCACCAACACATCCTTTGCGCCTTGGTCCTGTAGGAATCGGGAGGCTTCAATTGCATCCTCGACATTATTCACTCCACGTGTCGTTAGGCGTGCGAGCTCCGTTTCGTTCGGGCACACGAAAGTCAGCAAGGGAAGAACATTCCTCTGGAATAGGATAGTCGTCACCTCCAGTGTCCCACATGATAGGCACGGTACTTTTAGCAGCAGCTTTCGCTTCCAGCGCGTTAACGCGAACAGGGATTTCGCATTGAACGAGCACAATGGCCGCATTCTTGATGGCGTCGATCAAGGCAGTTGGAAGCTCCTCTGGCCAAGCCGAGTTAGCCCCACTTACGATCACGATCGAGTTGTCTCCGTCAGGATAGACGAACACAAACGCCAGACCCGATAAACATGTTGCCTGCGTGCACAGCGTCGTGTCCACGCCCACAGATTCAAGTGTACCCTTGATCCTTTTTCCGTGTCATTGCCAAACTGGCAAGCCATCTTAGCGATTAAGGTCGGGTGATCGGGTCCAATAAGCTTGGCAATTGTAGCGGCTTGGTTGTCGCCTTTGCCACCGGGGTAAACGTTACCCGTGTCGGGCTTGCTGGCAGATAACGTCTCACCGCGAGCTGGCATACGGTTCACTTCCACCACGATATCTGCTCCTACCGAGCCGACGACGAGGATGTGGCGGCGAATCTGCGTCATGTTGGGGGGATACTTTCTTGCCTGGAACTTAAAGTGTGGCTACTTGCGTTCGAGCTAGATAGTCTTTTAATGAGGAGTATGACGAGGGACTTGAAGCTTCAAGGAGGTCTATCACCTGCACTATTGCAAACTTCAATCACTCTGAACAAGCCTCAGGGCTAGCCAGATTACCACGCGTCAGATACACTGTATAGCTTGTGACCTCCTACTACTGTAGTTGATCTACGCGGGGGCAAAAACAATGGTCAAATGAAAGATGATGATGAAACAACTTCAAAATAAGTTGCAAGGAGCTGATAACTAACGCGTGAGTGTTTAGAAATCTAGTCCAACACGAAAACTAGCACTTCTTCGCGGTGCTCTACAAACCGTTCTCATTGAGAAAAGCCACGACCTCGTCACCAGTCGGCAGACTAGGGAGTGCGCCAGCACGTTGCACGCAAAGAGCGCTGGCAGCAGCAGCGCGAGCCATACAATCCTGCACCTCTCGGCCTTCAGCAAAAGCAACGGCAAACGCTCCACGGTAGCAGTCTCCTGCACCCGTCGTGTCAACCACCTTCTCCACCTTGAAGCACTTCTGGTGCACCACTACTTCCGAGCTATCAACAGGAATAAACACAGATCCGTCTGAGCCCAAGGAGACCAGCACGTTCTTAGCACCCTGCTCCTGCAGATACCGCGCGGCGGCTATGGCATCGTCGGTGTTGTTCACCTCGCGTTTGGTCAAACGTGCCAGCTCCGTCTCGTTGGGGCAAACGTACGTCAACAATGGCAGCAAGTCAGCCGGGATCAGAGTATCGTCACCTCCAGTGTCCCACATGACAGGTACGTTGGTCTCCGCAGCAGTTTTGGCCACCAACGCGTTGATGCGCTCAGGAATTTCGCACTGCAGCAAAATGATAGCCGCCGACTTGATGGCGTCCGTTAATGGGGCTGGCAGCTCTTCAGGCCACGCCCGGTTGGCACCACCCACGATAACGATTGAGTTGTCGCCGTCCGGGTAGACGAACACAAATGCCTGACCTGACGGACAGGCTGGGTGCCCAGCCAGCGCTGTGTCCACATCAGAGCCTTGCAGTGCTGTCTGGAGTGCCTCTCCGTGCGTGTCGTTGCCAAATTGGCCAGCGAACTTTGCGCACAGCGTCGGGTGATTGGAGCCGATGATCTTGCCTGCTGCAGCAGCCTGGTTGCTGCCCTTGCCACCCGGAAAGAACTTGCCGGTATCCGCCTTGGATGCGGATAATGTTTCACCGCGCACGGGTAGGCGACTGATCTCCACGACGATGTCGGCATTCACCGAGCCGATAACCAGAACGTGCTTGCGTGTCTGCGTCATCTCCTCTTCTTGCACTTAAATAGGTTGGGGGTCTAGGAGGAGATTGATCTGTGCAGCCTTGAGTGAATGACTCATTCGTGAAGCGTGGTTGAGGTTCTGCGTGACACATTTTCGTGTGCCCTACACAATTGCAATATGGCGCCTCCGACCTTCAAACCGGCGTTGGTGGAGCAGCTCTTCCAGTCCGCGTGGGTGGCCAACGCAGCAAGCGCGGCCGAGACCGTGGCAAGCGACAGCAGTGAGGAGGATGATCTACTGGACTCCGCCCCGTTAGTCAGTGCAGCGGCCGCCGCGTCCCGGGTTCGCAAAATCCACGCAGACGCCGTGAAGCTCAGCGCCGAAATGTTGCGGCTCTTTGTGGTGGAGGCCTTCCGCCGCGCTCAGATGGAAGCTATGGTGGACGATAGTGAGCAAGTTGAACCACAGCATATAGAGCAGATTTTAGCGCAGCTTCTGTTAGATTTTTAGGCGCGAGGTGCAGGTTTTGGCTTTCCGAGTCGACACAACCGGGTCATGATGGCCGAAATATGCGTCTGCTGGCGCTGGAACAACGCGTCTGCTAAGAAAGTGCTATGGTGAAGACGTTCGGAGTCGAGCGAGGTGCCTGACGCGTCGGAAACTGCTGCAAGTTTTGCCAACGAGTGATGAAGCTGCTGAAGACGTGTGAGTCGCTGAAAAGCAGTAGAAGCAGCATGATAAGTGAAGTGGAGGGCAAGAAGAGAAAAGCAGATCGCGTACCTGCTGGATCATATCGTACAAGAAGCGGCCGTTGGAGGAGAGCTCTGACATGGGGTCGTCAGCAGGTGAATATTTAACGTATGGCTGCACTGCTTCTTGGAAACGAGTACTCTCGTTGGCGATATGAATCTTCTGCTGGAGTATGGAGTCGACAAGGAACTAATGGCACAAAATGTAGTGAGATTAGCAGGGGGCTGTACCTATTCGGGCTGTCAGTTCAATTTACACACCTGGGCAGCACTAAATCGTGCACCAAGAACGTCGTTTTCCGCGTTTGGGAGCAGCTTCTCGAGCTGGTCACTGGCTTGTGCAATTCTGTCATCGCACTGTTGGGAAGCAAGACAAGGCTCAATAATGTTACAAGTAGAAACATTCGCTGGGGACAAGTTGGCACTGACCTTGACGATTGCACTTTCGAAGAATTTGTGAAGATCCGTTTCCATTTTTTTCTTCGCTGCGGTCTGTGATGAATGCGTTTATAAGCCGATGCATTTTGGAGAGTAACAGAGGCTTTGTGGCGTCAACTTACCTTCTCGAGAGCTTCAGCACGTTGTTGGCGCTTCAGTTGCTCTAACTCTCGGTCTTTCTTCTCAATTGCGACCATGAGCTTCTGGAGTTGCTGAGTATTGCTTTCTTGTAAAGACAATTGCGCTTGGTCGTGCTGGCTCGTTAAACGATCGGTAGTTCTCTTTATCTCCTGCTCGGTTCGCTTCTTCAAGTCCAGCGAATACCTCGAAATCATCGTAACTTCTATCCATTTTCTCAGAGCTCGATGAGTCAGCTTCGAAGTGCCATGAACAAGGACTCTTCGTAATATCTGTCGCTGATTCTTAAACCGATCTGCAGTCATTTTCCATTGTCGCAGGATCTGAGTAAGCAATGGCTGTACGATTCTGTGATTGTAATGACGCTCAGACATTCGCTCCAGATGAGCATCGAGCTTAAGACGTTCAGCACGCTGCACGTCGCCCAATTGATTGCGCGTCGAGCACTTCAAGACGAATTGCTGCCACCGTCGGAATGCGTCATGGTTCTTCAGGACCGCTTTCTTGATTACAAGTCCTCGTAACAGCATTGATCGCTGCCTTGTCGATAAGATGCTGAGGCGGAGAGATGACCAGCATTTCCGAACTAGTCGCCACTCGCGACGCTGTTGGAATGCTTCTAAGCGACACATTAGCACTTGGTTGATCAAAGCTGCGAAGTCTCGCCAGCGAATAAAATACTGATCACGACGCAGTTTCCCGAGTGCTGTTCGTACTTCGTCGAGCTGTCGAGCTGTACGCTCGCGATTTCGACTCTGAATTCGAAGACCTCGTACCCACCGCACGAATGTTTCACTTATGATTTCGTTCTTCTTGCGTCGGATCGCCTGCTTAATGAGTTCCTCCTGTAGCGCAGTTTTCGCGGCTTCTTGTCGAGCTGTATTGATCGGACGTGAGTGTGAGCGGGTGAGATCGTTGAATCCTAGCTCCATCGCTTTCGACAAGAAGCTACGAGCTTTTGGTGGGTTGTACGTTTGGCTTGAAGTTGCCTCACTTTCGAGTGAATAGTCAAGCTGATCACTCCGCTCTTCAGCTTCATCAGGATTTAAGATGTTTTCTTGATCTGAATGCTCCGTCTGAATCGAGGCTGAGAGATTTGCCGGTGTTTGAGGTTTGACCCTCTCGATCATTACTGGTAGCTCGTCGTCTTCGTCGTCTTCACTGTCATCGTCACTCCTATCAACATCCGAAGGAGTTCTGTTGAGAGACTGACGTCTCGATCTTTTCGAAGATGGCGACAGGTAGCTCTCTTGGAATTCCATGTCTCCATTCAGAACCTACACAACAAATTTCGTCAAACAATATTAAATAATTGAACGTCCTTTATCCACGTCCAACTTACATCGTTGACGTCTCGAATTCGTTGAGAAAGTCGTAGTTTTTCCACTTCTGCGAAGTTTCGTTGCTTTCTTGACTGTCGTACATGTACACTACTACTTGACGTTTTATTTTGCCTCGTACGTTCAATATGGTTTGAATTTGCAAGAGAGGACTGTCTACTACGACGTTGGCTGAGTTTGCGTTCCACGTAGTCACTAAGCAGAGAATCAGATGAAGCCTCGACTAAGAATTTGCTTAATTGGCCCTTGGACATTAGTGACGGTGCAGTTGAATCCGCATACGAAGATATGCTGCTTTGATTCCGTGTTGATAGCAGATTGTTTTGAATGGAGGCACTCACAGATGCATGGGGGGTACAATCTCTGCGATCTCCTCGCAGAGTATCCAACGCCTTTCGAAAGGCTCGATTGCCAGTAGTACTGGAAGTTTGATCAACTGAATGCTCTTCGGACTTTTCAACCGACCGTTGTGGCAGTGCAGTCACCTGTGGGTGAGGAGTGAGTTCAAATAGAAACACGTTGTGTGGGTTCCCAAAGGCTAGTCGATCTCCATGCACGACGACAGTCCCTTCTTTAAGGACTACAACGTCGTTGACGTAGCAGACACCAGCCGCTGTGGCTGAGAACGGCACCAACTTGGCCGACGCTTTATCTGCAGACAAGTTGAGAAGTGCATGGAGCTCCAAGATGTTGTCGCCCGAGATCACAACGTCGCAGGTCGGTGCATTGGATCCGATGAGAGTTTTGGAGCTGCGTAGCTCGTGACTGCTGTCGACCTCCAATGATCTTAAAAACGGCATCTCCCAAGCGACTTTTGATCTGTGACGGGTGGCTGTTCGCGATCCGGAATCCAGATCAAAAACATAGTACCATCAAGGCAATAAACGCACGAAGAGGACAATGAGAGACCTCATACATTTTCACGGGAGTAAAAGCTCTGGTCGCAGACCTGCACTTCTATTCCCTGTCATTATTCCTAACGTGCCCAAGAGCGGCTGACGATAGATCCAATCGCTTACGCCTTGACGCGACGGCTGCGGATGGCCTTCTTCTGGAGGACACCTGTCAAAGATAAACAGTATTTGAGCCACCTGAACCTGAATAGTCCTGTAATAAATGATGTCTGCAGCAACGCACCCTGCTCGACCTTGGCGACCGTCGACAGACGCGACCACTTGGCCAGAGCGGCCTTCTTCAGGTCGCGACGGTAGTAGTTGCGCGAGATGTTGGCGCGGATAGTGTTGGCACCACCGCGAGCACCCTTGCGGAGAGGCACGGCGTTCTGAGCCTTGGCTGGCTTCTTGGTGGCCTTCTCGATCTTGGTGGTGAGCGTCACCTTCTTGTCCGAGATCGAGATGTCCACGGCCTTGGTGGAGGCCAGACCCGAGTACTTGCGGCAGTTGCGGTTCAGCAGGTTGAACTTCTCGCGAGCAAACTCGTTGCCGTTGCGCTTCACGAGGAAGGACGAGGTGTTCTTGGTCAGCAGCCACGTAAGGGTATCGCTCGACATCTGAGAGATTGCGGCACCATCAGGTTAGTTTATCATTGCCCTGCTTGTTATTACAGGCTGTCATAGTCATCGCGCAAACCTTTTCCGCTTCTTCGATGGAAATAATGGGATGGCGGAGAATGGCGGCGTCGGCGGCTCAGCGAGACCTCGACCAATCGATTCACCCGGGGCCAGCCAGAACAGGGGATCCACGTGGATTGGCCAAAAGTTGGAGCGTAAAAACATTTTGATTAGCTAAAAACCTCTGATTTTTTACAGGTAAAAAGTGACGCAAAATACGCACGATTTGTCATCAATTTAGAAATGACAAAAAGTGGAGGATAACAAAAACCTGCCGTCTTTCATACTTGTCATAACTACTACAGTACAGTAGTAGTATCTGCGTTTTGTGCGGTCGACATGATGCGCATTGGCATCTCGCGGTGGTGCGTGCTGTCTGTAGCAATATACAGCAACCACCAGACCCCATTCTTACTTCACTTTATCCTCATAGGTCAGTTGCACGAGTGTCCGAGTCAGCATGGCATAGCTCGAGCTCCCGTAGCGTCAGCGACTGGTGCAGCAAGACTCTGCTGTCCGCGTCAAAGGCGCTCGCCTCCGGTGACGTCTCGGCCGTGGAGCTTACACAGACCTGTATTCATCAGGTCGAAAAGACACGCGCCTTTAATATGTTTGTATCCACGGACTTCGAGCGCGCGTTGCAGCTTGCCAAAGCGTCAGACGAACGACGTGTAGCTGGTCAGTCTCTCGGTCTACTGGACGGTATCCCCATAGGCGTCAAGGACCTGTTCTGCATGGAGAATGTGCCCACCACAGCTGCCTCTAAGATCCTAGAGAACTTTGTGTCTCCGTACGAGTCGACAGCCACTAAAAGGCTGCTGGACCAGGGCGCTGTGCCGCTTGGGAAGCTCAACATGGACGAATTCGCCATGGGCTCCGGTACACTCTATTCCAAATTCGGAGCCACCATCAACCCTTGGTCCAAAGATCTCAGAGACAAGGCGGTCGTAGCTGGAGGAAGCTCTGGTGGCAGTGCAGCTGCGGTGGCGTCAGGATGCTGCTTTGCTGCTCTGGGATCCGATACGGGAGGCTCAGTGCGTCAGGTGAGTGGTGTGTGGAGGAGATGAAGGTGGGTCGTCATTGATGTGATGTTGTGGTTTGTTGTGGTAGCCTGCTGCGTACTGCGGCATTGTCGGACTGAAGCCTTCGTACGGACGTGTGTCGCGTCACGGCATGATTTCGTATGCGAGTTCTCTTGATACGCCAGGTATTTTCGCTAGATCTGTCGGGTGAGTGTACTGTAAAAGAAGTGGTACATGTGCGAGAGCTCACGTTAATGACGTGTGTGGTGCGATAGAGATGCCACCGCTGTCCTCCAAGCTATTGCTGGTCCTGATCACATGGACTCGACCTGTATGACCGACGCGCTGCCTGGAAACTGGGTAAGTTGAAGTTATGCTGGCTTTTGTCATGAAATTGATGTTCATTTTGTCTGCTGCAGTGCACAAACACAGTGGAGGCATCACAGCAGTCCAAGAAAGTCGACCTGACTGGTGTTCGAGTGGGTGTTCCCGCAGAATACTTCGTTAAAGAGCTGCCCGAGGAGATCCTAAACGTATGGGACGAAGGTGTCGCCTGGCTTCGTGATGCAGGAGCTCAGGCTGTTAGCGTGTCGCTGCCAACGACGAAGCTGTGCATCCCAGCGTACTACATTCTAGCTTGTGCAGAGGCATCTTCTAATCTGTCTCGCTATGATGGCGTTCGCTACGGCTACAGGTAAGCCGGTGTCTTGTATTTTGTTTTCTTTCATTGTATTTGATAAAAAGTCTGACTGTATCTTCCGTTAGGGCCAAGGACAAAGTATTAGAGACGCAAGAAGACCAATCCGATGCCCTCCATGACTTATACTGCAGAACTCGATCGGAGGGTTTTGGAGAAGAAGTGCAGGTAGGAAGCTAACGACCTGTTCTTCAGTGTGGTGGTGCACTAACGATGTTTCTGATACTAAAGCGCCGTATCCTATCTGGCACCTTTGTACTGTCCGCTGGAGCCATGAGTGACTATTACGAACGAGGCGTGATTCTGCGCCAACGTATTCGACAGGATTTCCAGCGAGTTTTCGAAGAGCAAGGCGTCGATGTCTTGCTGACCCCAACGACGCCCTCAGGTCCATTTCCTGTCCATAACAAGCAGGCGAAGGAAGACCCAGTCAGTATGTATCTCAACGATGTCATGACTGTACCTGCGAATATGGCTGGCGTGCCTGCCATTTCGGTTCCGGCAGCTCTGACGAGCGATGGTGACTACCCTCTCGGACTACAGCTCATGGGTGCGCGCAAGACGGAGGAGCGTCTGCTGCAAGTAGCAAATGCTCTTGAACAGCGAGCTGGTTTTGGAGATCTAGTTCCTGCACGTGTGTACGCAACTGAAAGATAAGATGAGACGTTTAAGTGATAGAGCTCCACTACTGTAGAAATGCAGTCAATGTCTGACTTAAGATTTTGGCTGATTCCTTTCTTCTTTTCTTTTTATTGTTTTACCAGGGGGGTTGATGCTGCATTACTCGTACCCTTGTGAATTGTGAGCGAGGGGATGATCAATGAGCGCTGAGATCTTCTCGGTTGACATGAGTTCTCTTTTTCGGAGGTTTGAAAACCACTGTGACGACCCCTTTCAAACTATTTTGTTTTACAAGTAAAGATATGCGTGATCATCTTTTGGGTCTGATACTTCAAGTTGTACAGTACCCTGTAGCTCGGACAGCGATGTCTTGTAGCACGACCAAAACACAGAATGAATAGGATGAGACTGGTGAAGGAGGGCCGTCCTGTCAACTAATGCTTTTCTGTTTTTAAAATTGGTTTTGAACCATCCCGCTTATATTTTCGGACGAAGGAAGTACTTCAGTTGTGTACATGTATTGCTGGAGCGCGAATAACTACGGTACTGTGGGTTCATGACACGGGATTCATTAAAAAACGTAATTTTCAAAACTAACGTTACAAACATAAATACCGAGGGGGTATCTCACGGGGGGTGTCTGACCGCGTCTGATACAAGAATCGTAATTTTTCAGACGCCTGCGACCCCACTTATATACGGACTGAGAGGTCACGACACGGCTATATCTTCTTGACAGTATCGTGCATTCCATTGTAATATTTGCGTGCTGGAAAGATTGTAACGCAAGAACATGTATTAAAGTATAAAAACTACAACATACATTCGTGATGATTATTGCGCTTGCAAGCTCGCTAGTGTCGAGAGGATTTTGGCTCGCGAAGCCGAAGCCTTCTTTACGTTGAATGTGCTTGTCGTCAGCGACGGCATGTGCTCGAGAAGCGATTCTGGACGATGCTTGATAATAAACTTCATTACGGCATGCATGTAGTGGAGTGCGTACACTGCACAGTCGACAACGTTAGCCTGACGAGGCTTCGTGACGTAGTTGTACGTGGTTGTTACAGTAGTGCCGCTGGTATCAGATGCTATGGCCTTAACTAGAAACCATTCGATCACAGCAAAAATATAGTCTGGTTCATGACCACCCCGCAATGAATTCACGTGGTATATGAGGGTGCTTTCGCTGGAAAGAGGGCGCTCAACTACCACAAAGCTCCAGTGGTCGCCCATCACAACCGGAAGGATCACGTATGTGTGCGAAATCCAATTAGCTTGCCGGGTTATTTCATCAGCACTCCGTTCTGTAGCCATTCGACCAATATACGCGAAATTAATCTCCGAAAAAATTGCTGACGTGCCCGAATACACAAGCCTATCTTTTTCAAAATACGCTGCAATGCAAAAGTCGGCAGCCGCATTTGTTACCATGTTGCCTTCCTTTAAGCTCTCCAAATCATCCGCAAATAGCGGAATTGCGACAGGAGCAGGGTCAACCACCCCCGCTAAGCGCGCTTCCGACGTGTTAAGGGATTGGTTTGCGTGGCCAGAGCCAGAGAGCCGCACCATGGGTATATTTTGGTCTGTCCGCGGCCGAAGCTCATAATTGCCGACGAATTGCTCGGCGCTGCGTGAGGTGCTCTCAGATGAGACAGGCGCATTACCACCATAAATCTTCCCTCTTCACCTTTCCATCTTCGCGAGCGCAGGTATCACAATACTCAATAACTGCCCATTCGTACGTTTCCATCCTGTGCTTACGCCCGCCTCCCTTTTCGCGCTTGGCGTCCCCAGGCTCATAAGTATCGAGTTTATGCCAATATGTTTTCTTCCATGATAGAAGCGTCGGCTTCAGCACGTTTAGCTCCTTAGCGGCTTTGCCTGCGCTCCAATCGGAGTGATCTCGCCACGTTTTAAGTTTTGCTATCCGCTCTCGAACGGGAGTCTCAGTACGCGCCATCGCGGATCACTGCTTGGGAATTGATTTTGCCTAAACGAGAGTGAGAACAATGAGTGGTCACACCAATCTGAATGGATATCAAGAATAGATTGACCGGTCAGTTTATTTTAATATACGTTTATTCAGAATAGTCAGACCAGTCAGTCTGTTTTAGTCTTGTCGAGGTTCAAAATAGTCTGACTGGTCAGTCTATTCTGACTATATTGATTAGCAGAATAGACTGACCTTTCAGACTATTCAGAATAGTCTGACCCGTCAGTCTATTCTATATATATTGGTTGCTAGAATAGACTGACGGGTCAATCAGTTCAAAACAGTCTGATCTGTTGTTTTACGCACGCTCTAAATAAATTGACCAGTCAGTTTATTATCAACAGCACCATTTTCACATTAAACTGACCGGTCAATCTTTTTTATTTGTGTTCAGAACAGATTGAACAGTCGATGTCTAAGTCACGTACCATTACAACTGAATTGTGTAGGTATCTAGCTTCCTGCTGAATGCGTTAAGGGACAAATTGTCACCCTTCCGCGCCAACTCAAGTTTTTCCGCGGCCTGGTTTGGAGAAATGTTATGCGTAGCAGCTGTCTTTGTGATGGCATCATAGTATTTTTTGCGCCGGAGATAGAAGCGAGCTTCTGTCGGGTCTTTCCGCCATTTAGACCCGAGCTTCTCATTTGCCTCCGAAATTGACATGTTTCCTGCAAGCCCCACAGAGTACTCTTTCCACAAGTCCACAACCGTCGAGATTGATCTGCTCAGCTTTGGATTACGAGGTTGAAGTGACTGCGGAATTGCACATGATGTAAAGGGCGGCTGCGTTACTGCTGACTGCAGCGGATCATGACCTGAGGTGCTGTCTTCCCAGCTGAGTACAAGCCGTTTGTTTGAGAGAGCCTTTAGTGTATCTATCCCCGCTGCTAGCGCATCCAGCTTGCCGTGTAGAGATTCCATTCCGTTCTTCAGCACGTCCGCAATTTGAGGCACTACAACTGCAAGCGATTTTGTTTCAGGCTGTGTAATCGCTGGTATCAACGAATAGAGTTCCTGATCAAAGGATGCGTACTCTGCAGTGGAAAACAAACTGTGCTTCCACAATTGATGATTGGGATACTGCCGCCTCAGCACCACAGAGTCTTGGAGAAAGACCACTCGCATGTGACGGAGCATTTGAATGAAGGCAGCTCCAGCAATTTCACGCGTCGAGCTTTGAGCCAGTTGTTTAACTGCGGCCTCAACCTCAGGGTAAACCAATTGTTGTAACTCAGCGCTTGGAGTAGCAGAACCTCGCTGCAGCCAGTAGCCGCCACCCTTTGTCGGATATCCAGCCAAGGCTCGCATAGCCTTTTTAGGTAGGGATGTAAGATAGCATCCTTCCATCCGCGCTGCATTCCACCTCCCAAGACGCCGAATTTGTTCTTCACTAGCACCAAATGTTTCCGCCAATTTCGCCCCCGATCCTCGATTAGCATGTGTCCAAACGGTTGAATCGATCCCACACGCTGCGAAAGCTCGCTTGATACGATTTAACTGGGTGTTGTACGAAATCTCCTTCGTTCTGTCACCACCATTAATGAGGTGGATATCGTACCACCTTTCGCGGCATGTAAAATCGGGAAATGGTTCACAATCAATTTGCCAGCGCCAAAAAAGATGGAGCGCTACAGCATTCAATGGGCACACATTCACGTTCTTACATCGCATGGCTGCCCCGTACTCGATGCGGCCATGCTGATTAGTTTTGCCTCGATTCATGATGATCACAAGTGGCGTGCATGTTTGCGATCCTTCATCCGGTAGCTCCAGTGTCAACATATCAGGGAATTCAATAAAGCGGCGACTCTCGCCCCGTGCAAGAAGTGCATGCCCCAAAAAGAAATCCACACGATCACGCAAAGAAACACCGTCGTTTTGAGACAACCAATAGTCAGTGAGTTGAACCATGTCTTCGACATTATATCCATCAAGAACGGTACCCAGCGCTCGATCTGCGTAGTTTTTTCGCTTGCGCTCAGTTTCCGACCGCTTCAGCGTGTCGAATAGGTCGTGATAGGTCTTCCCACGTGGATGTGGATGGCTATTTAGAAGTAGAGCCTGCTGCAACTTGTACAGATCTATCACAGCTTTGGCATTAGCTTCAACGCCAGCTAAACTGAGAGCTTTAGCATCACCAGCTTTGGTTTTCTGGCGCTTGTTACCACGAGGAATAACGTGCATTTTCAAAAACTTTCCCTTCAGTGACAATACAGCCATCCAAATACTTTTTACCTGCACACCACGTTTTAAACTCGGCTTGTTTTGGAGCGTACTGCTTAACGGTGTTGGAAGGGCGCGCAGCGGCGTGGTCTGTGATAATGTCTGTCACCACTTGATGAATTTCTTAAGAATTCGCAATATCATCACGCGTGTACTCGTCCATTTAGACGCTTCCAAACAATCTCTACGGGGGGGGGGCCTGCGAGTGCTCGCTGTCGATCAGAGACTGGTGAGTTGGCGAAAAGAATTGGTTGCTAGAGGTATTTTACTATAGGATTTATCTATAGAGATACAAAATTAACTACCTCAAGTATTTCGCAACTGCTTTGTCCAATACCTTCAGGCCTAGGGTTTCGATCGAAAGACGCCGTCCGTCTCGTCGGGAGATACCGTTAATGTACCTGTAGTTCATGATTGGCGTGTGGAGTGGAATGTAAATTGGCTACAGCTGATGCATCAGCCTAACACCTTAAAAGCTATGGCTTCAAAATCTTCCTAGAGCTATGGGCCAGCTCTCATCAGTCTCATTAGTCGCGCAAACTGGCCCGGGGCAAAGCCTATGGGTAAACTGCGTTCTGAAATGTACCCATCGCTCGTGCAACTATTAAAACGCAATGCGGTGCTGATGCCATTATTCATTTTGCGAAGTTAAAAGCAAAGATATGTCGAACACAAAGGAGTCGAACAACGAGTTGGACCTGAAAACTGCGCTAACGGATGAAGTTCCCCAGTGCAACGATTTCGCGTGATTGCTGGGTCATTGGCACTGGCTGGTGTGCTTGCTGCAGCGATACTGTCATTCGTGCACAATGGAGCTTTTGTGGGCCCCCTGATATCGACTGAACTGAATGATGACGGGCAAAATCGCCTGCTGGACAAGTACAACTCCATTTCTGGTGGTTTGACTGTTGAAACCTGTGGATATACTGTATTGCTAAGTAAGCTGGCCTCTGTCGCTGTCCTCTGTTTTGCAACGGAATCCAGTGTTCACCACCGAAACCAAAGCAAATCTAACAGCGATTGCCGTCGTGGGTTATCTGCTGAACACCGGGCTGAATGCGCTCAACGTGCAAGTGACCACGGGGTTTCTCAACCGCTGGTTGTTGTTAACGACATTTGACTCTTAGGTTAGAGAGAGTACACCTGGAAACAGTGTGCTTAACACCATTATGCGTACGCTGCTGGTACCAACAGAGGAAGCTCCGACGTGGTGCAACCGAACTGATGACTACCAGTATCCATTCAGGAATGTCATTGCCAGCTACATTTTTCTTTCTCGAATATGGCAACAACGTGCGCTCTCAAGAGCTTTAAGGTCCACATCAACACTCTCAACTCCATTGAACACTGAGTCATCCAAGCTTCCATCCGATAAAGATCTTCCTATGATCTTGTCTATCGCAACCAACCTGGCAGCGTACGCTTTGGTTGTCAGCATTACATTTCTTGGGTGGTGGAATAGTAGCATTGAGATATGGAGTTTGAGTTCTGTAAACGTATCCTCACTACCATCCCCCTGGGTTGTGGCAGACTACTTGAACCTGACGACGAATTCCTCCGGTGATTCTTCTTTCCTGAGCAATTTTCACGAAGCTACTGTCAGCTACTACGATAAAGCTGAAAACGCAAGTACCACGGACAACTTGGCGAAGTTGGCGTTTTCGCACGTTGTTATGTTCGAGACAACGGCGTTCGATGCTCTAACGATCGAGATTTCACTGCAAATGCTTAGCTTTCAAGACGACAACTCGTCCAGCTCAAATCCATATTATCAGATGATAAACGCTGTCCTGTGTAATCGTGAGGTTTGTCTGATGCCGAACATGCAGAAATACACGGGAAGTGGGGCAACGACGACCCTACCCACGAGTTCAAGCTCTCACCATTTGCTTGAATGACGATGAAAGCGAAGACCTGACTGTGGACTTAAATTATTTTCACGCGGATGAAGTCCTGCAGTCCTGCAAAGAACGCTCGAGTATGTTCACGATCGTTGTAAGTATTGGAAAACGCAGTGAGGGAGCCGCATTCGAAGTAGATCCAAGTGATGTCAATGGAGTTGGTCGACCTGTCAAAGCTTGCATGGTGTATTCGCTTACTGTGGGTCGTCTTTCGTGGGCAGTGGAGGATCTGGCGTGAGTGTATGGCGCGAATTGCGCCAGTGACGATGGCTGTGGTATTCGGTTCCCTTTGGAAAAGTCCGAGGATGTTTTACTGGTTAGCGACGCTGGTATCGCAACAAGCTCACTCAGCCCTATCAACATGAATTTTAATTCAAAAGTTACCGACGTCACTATCAATACGATAGGAACACTTTTTTATTGTCGTTCGCAAACTTTAAAATGAAAGATAACCAACTCCGACACCCACCACTGATGAGTGCAGCTACCGAAAATACTTACAAGTACTTCAGCCGCTTCTTATCCTCCGGTTCCGTCTCAAAGCATCCGGTTGTTGCTGAATTCGCGTACCATTTAGCGGCGGTACAAGCAGTGCGATTCAGATACGTTGATGGGACCTAGTACACGTCCTTGTCGCCAATATTATCCGGGAAGTTCACATAATTATTGGAGCACTCACAACTGAGGGCACAGTTGCATCATACGAATACCGAATCCTGAGAGGAACGCTTCCTTGATTTTGGAGATTTCGGAAAAGTGCAACCATTTCTGCATGAGCCAGCAGCAAATTAAGCGCAGCCTCGTACTCGTCGCTGTCTGTTACGGCGAAAATGTAGAAGATGTACATGTACGAAAGCGGCTCGTTGATCGTCGACCAAAACTTCACTTTTTGACCAAATTCGGTCAGAATGAGTTCGGCGTAGTCTTTGAGGATCGTAAAGTTAAGGAAATCACCAGCGAATACAGCTTGACGGGCATCTCCTAATGGAAAAGCATCAACAAGGGCCCAATCCTGCTTGCAACGAGTCCGTCCACCAGGGAGTGATAAAACGCCAAACCATCGCGATTCGGCTGCATACGCTGAAGTGTGCTGCTCCAGTGCATGACACGCGACCACGAGATTGAGAATCGCATCGAACCGTATCCGTCGCTCTTCATCGTGTTGATATCATCCTTGTAGCGGTGGAAGAAGTCGTCGTCGACGTTGGCACAGTTGGGAACAACCCACTACCGCAGATTTCATCCCAGACACTGGGCGTGCGACCCGCTTCGTTCACGGCCCCTTCAACTTATTAGGACGCTGTGGCTGACCCGAAGAGGAAGTTGGTGGGGAAGCACTTGGTCGAGGAGTTAGCAGGTGTTACTGAAGGACTCCGACGACTAAGTAGAAACGTTTTCGGAGGAAGGGTGTGAGCTGACGCTGCAGCCATAGGCGGAGAGAGCAGCGCACCAGCAGATAACTGCTCCGATAATATTCGTAGCCCGAGTTAAACCATCTTTGATGTATTAGAGAGATCAGAACAAAGACTTGGGTATGTAGTCCGGGGAATTTAATGAAATGGTCCCTCTATTCATAGCTCGAGCTCTAACCAGGTTTTCCATTCTATCTCTTAAGGATTTATACTGGTAAATGTACTTAAATGATGGGATTGTGGCATGAGTTGAGGTTGAGCTCACCTGGCCTCACTCAACGAAAACGCTGTTTACAACTGGCTAAGATTATGCGCGAGTTCAACTGAGAAAGGAAATGTGATCACTAAACGTGAATTATTTCCCCTTTCGCCTTCCACTCGAGCTTGATTGCGGTAATAACCGGTTTGTACCGGCTCTGGATTCTACAGTTGAGGAGCCAATCTGAATCCACAGATGAAGAGCCGATTATTGCTTAGCTGTGCGTTTAGCAGACGTGCGCAACGTATTCAGTCGAACATGGCACGAGCTTTTTTGCTCTACGCGGCATCGGCGCTGGTCGTGTCGGAATGGCTTACACCCACCTCAGCATTCGGTCCTATGCGTCCCGACCGTGGTCCGCTCTTTACTACCTCCAAGGATGTGCGCGCTCTAAATATCGACAACTACGGCGCCATGCTGAACGACACACAGACCGTTTGGCTTGTGGATTTTTACTCTCCGTGGTGTCCGCACTGCCGCCAGTTCGCCCCTCAGTGGGAAGAGGTGGCCAACGTCTACGCTAAAGTCAAAACAATCCAACTAGGTGCAGTGGACTGCACGAAACAGAACGAAATTTGCGGTCGCGAAGACGTGCACTCGTACCCCGCCGTCAAGATGTTCCACGCGCCGCCTGATGCCAATGAAGCCATCGAGATGCCCCATGATGATCATGTGTATGCCCGACACGTAGCTAAGTGGATTGAGGAGACACTCAAGGAACACGGAATGGGGCCGTTAATTGATGTTGACAAGGTGTACCCGAAGAACACCATGCGTAACGATCTGAAGAAGAAGGAATTCAAGTTTGGAGACCCGGTCGAACCATTGTACGACGATCGGTCTGCGGAAATACAGCTTAAGAGATTAAAGGATGCAGGAACCACAGCATTATTTGTACTCGAGGATGGATTCTTTATGGGCACGACGGAGTTAGCTGGGGAGAGATATGCTGCTGCAGTAACGTGGGTGCAAACACTAGCGAATGCTTTCCCTACGAAGGAGAATCGTGCTGCGTTTGTACTTCTTGTGGATATGATGAAGAAGCAGAGCAGATGGAAGCAGGCGGACTGGAACACAATGCTAGACAACTGGAAAGTTTCAGCCAATGCGATAAGCTATCCGACGAATTTGTTTGCGAGCAAAGATGAGTTGAGTTTGTGCACGACGTTCACGTGCGGGCTATGGACGCTGTTTCACAGCTTAACTGTGAATAGTATCGGTCAGCTGATGCCGAGCGAGATCATGATTGCTATCCGTCTCGTTGTCAAGCATTTTTTCGGCTGCGAGGAATGCAAACGTCATTTCTTGAAAGCAAACCCGGAGAGTTTGATTGAGAAACTTGCACTCAGGGACGAAGATGGTTCTGACGCTGTAGCATTTTGGATCTGGACCATGCACAACACGGTCAACAAGGTCCTGAGCAAACCAAGATGGCCAACAAACTTGTCATGTCCCAACTGTTACTTTGCCAACGATCAGCCGCCGTCGTTAGACCCCGCGCAATTGAGCGAAGAAGATATCGTTGCATACGTCAAAAGTGTCTACAAGATTGATGGCAATCTGAAACTTGGACAGCACGCTACTAATACAACGCCATGGCTCACGCTTGGAGGATTCACGTCGATGGCTGCAGTCGCTCTGCTAATAGCGATATTCGCTACGATATTCCAGCAGCACAAGCACCGCCTTGCAGGAATGAAAGTTTTGAAAACACGCGACCACATTGCGTAGAGTTGCAGGGCTGTAGCTGTGGAAATAACCCATAATACCGGTATAGAGCTAACAGTGACTCCTTACTTTAGAATCTAAAGGGTATAACTTTTGGGGATATTACTCCAAAGGGGTTTGTCTGTATGTGTGTGTAGGATTTTTAACCACAAAATTGTAAAGCTACTACATCTACAGTAACGTAAGTTTTCAGCGGGCAATTTCGACAAGAGATACTGCCAATGCGGGAGCTGGTGGTCATGTCTTGGACGCTTGCGTTCCTCTTGTTGCTGCCCACGACGTCGGCCTTCTCGCTTATGAAACATGATAGCAGCCCTCTTTTCACCAAGTCGTTCCAAGTGCACACGCTCTCCTCGCAGAACTACGACACAATGCTGAAGGATTCTGACATCGTCTGGTTAGTTGATTATTATGCGCCGTGGTGTCCACACTGTCGACACTTCGCCCCCGAGTGGGAACGTGTCGCCAACTTCTACGCTAAGACCGATAAAGTACAAGTAGGGGCTGTCGATTGCACCCAGAACAGCGAGATCTGCAACAATGAAAACATCCACGGTTATCCTGGTGTGAAAATCCACCATGTACCGGCAGATGCAGAGAAGGCGGTGATGATGGCACGAGGTGCAAGGGGCAGCAAATCAGTAGTTGACTGGGCTGAGAGGCTTATGGAGGAGCACGGCATTAAGTCTGGCGTGAATGTGGAGGAACTAGCAGCGCAGTTGAAGAATTTTAGAAATGCTGGCGTTGTGGAAGGCGGCGACGGGGAGCTAATGTACAACGATCAGTCACTTGAAATGAAGTACAAACGGCTATATGACGCGGGTATAGCAGCGGTATCGACCTTTCAGAACGGGTTCTTTATGGGGTCTAATGTACTGGAAGGCGAAAGGTACGATGTGGCCTTGATGTGGGTGGAAGCACTTGCGGCGTCTTTTCCGATGGAGAAAAACCGACACGTGCTGGCTATGCTGGTGGGGTCAATGAAGACAAGTAATCACTGGAATCATGCTGACTGGAAGATATTGCTGAAAAACTGGAAGGAGGCGGCGAGTGACAAGACGTTTCCAGCTAATCTGTTCACGTCAAGTGAGGATAAGAGTTATGTATTTTGCAAGACGTATACTTGCGGATTGTGGTCACTGTTGCACAGTATCACTGTGAGTGATGTCAAAGTCAGCAAGAAATCGGCGACTCAGCCGTGGAAGCCAAGCAGGACCGTGGCAGCTATTAGGCTGTATGTCAAGAACTTTTTCGGATGCGAAGAATGCAGGGAGCATTTCATGTCGTCCAATCCGGAAAGCATTGTTAAAGAACTTGCTGTGAGTGACGAGGAAGGGCCCCATGCTGTTGTTATGTGGATCTGGAAGATGCACAACAAAGTGAATAAAGCTCTCAAGAAGCAGCAGTGGCCGTCAAAGACAGCATGCCCAGTCTGCTACGTGGAAAATGGTGAGCCAATATCGCTTGATCCGGTGCGACTCTATGAGGACGAGATTGTCGCGTATGTAACAAGCGCCTATGGACACGATGACGAGGAGATTTATGCAATGGATGCCGCGTACAACGGCACAATCGTTGCACTGTGGTCGTCGACGCAAGGCTTTAGCGCAATGATGATGGTTCTGGGATTCTTCGCGTTGCTCGGAGTAGCCTACAAAACGAGAAGGCACCGAGGCTTTGACCGAAAGAGGAATATGATGCGAGATCACATTGCATAATCTAACAGATAGGTTAATAAATATTCAAGTGTTTCTTTTCTTCTTTTAAAAATTCGGTCAATTAAATAAAAGGACCGGTACATTTTGGCTCACGCTCTTAGGTACGAAACCCTGTGTAAACCGATATGAAGTCGATGGAACGTGTCCTTGAAGCCGAGCTGATGCGTATCTACTACGCTAGACGTTCGCCACAGCATGTCTGGGTTTTGACAGTATCAAAAAGCTCGGAAGCTGAGCGTGTCAGACATAGAGAAAATATTTCAGTAACTTGCAGACACCTCCATAATGACCGTCAAGACGCTGCTTCTGGCAGCAACGTTGACCGCTGCAGCATCTGCACGCCAGCCACGCGACAACAGTCCACTCTTCACGACGGAACAATGCCAGGTTCGCACGCTCAATAGCGAAGACCACGCTGCTATGCTCGCAGACTTGGATGCAGTGTGGCTCGTGGGCTACTACGCCCCCTGGTGCCCGCATTGTCGCCAATTTGCTCGAGCATGGGAGAAAGCCGCAGCTTTCTACGCCGATAACGCCAACGTCAACATCGCAGCCGTGGACTGCACGCAGAACAGCGAGGTGTGCAACAAAGAGGGTATTACGGGATACCCTACAATTAAGTTGGATCATGTACCACCGGAGAGCACGGAACCCGTTAAAATGCCTCATAAGAATCGTAAAAACACCAACACAGTCATCGCCTGGGTGGAAGAGCAAATGGAGGCACACGGCTTGAAAATCAGCGCCAACACCGACAATATTGATGCACACATCGAGAAAGTCAACAATGGTTGTGAGATGGGCACTGTCCCTAACATTGTGAAGGCCTCAAAGACTGCCAAGCACGAGCTAAATGACTTGAGCATGGAGATGAAGTACAAGAGGCTGCACGATGCAGGAATCGCTGCTGTGTCCACGTTTGAGAACGGATTTTATGTTGGCACGACAATGCTGGAAGGAGAGAGATACGACGCTGCTGTGAAGTGGGTCGAAGCACTGGCCAAGTCCTTTCCGATGGCAGGAAACCGTGTAGCGTTATCGTCGCTGGTAGATATAATAAAGGAGCAGAACAAATGGAAGCAGAACGATTGGAACACACTTCTAACCGAGTGGAAGAAGAACGCGACGACAACCAGCTTCCCTGCGAGCTTATTTGAATCAAGCGAGAAGAAGAACTGGGCGTACTGCACGACGTACACGTGTGGTGTCTGGACGCTGTTCCATACGATTAGTGTGAGCGATATCCCGTCAGACACGGCGTTGAAGCCCAGTGAGATCATGACTGCGATTCGACTGTTCGTCAAGTACTTTTTCAGCTGCGAGGAGTGCCAGCGACATTTTATGCTGACCAACCCGGAGAGCTTGCTCGAAAAGCTGGCAGAAAGCGACGCGGAGGGTCCTCGCGCCGTGGCAATTTGGATCTGGAAGATGCACAACAAGGTCAACAAGGTATTGAAGTACCACCAGTGGTCGACGCTGGAAAGCTGTCCCAACTGCTATGTGAACGATGGTGAGCCGCTGGACCTGAATCCCGCACGACTGCGTGAGGAGGAAATTCTAGCTTACATCAAGAACGTTTTCGGGCATAAGGACACAGATCTCTTCTTCCTTGATGTCGCTTCGAATGGGATATGGACGGCTGCTGTGTCCATCATGCAGAGACATAGTTCCGTGACGATGGTTGCAGTTGCTGTGCTGCTGATGCTGCCATTTATGTTGCGCTCAAAGAAGGCTCCCAAGACCATGAAGACCGACTAATTTCATATGCATGCGATCATTTTGCTGCAGCCATGTGCATGGAATCACAGGCGTAAATGAAAGCTGAATTCTTTGTGTTCGTTAAGAAAATAAAACAAAAATACTACTAATTACTAGTATGCTTTATCTCAGTTTTGGGTTAATGAGAGCTTCAATTAGCAATCTGAAAAGGTTTGTCGATGGCAGCTCGTCAAGTAGAAAAGAAGTTGTTGGTGGCCGCAGCCAAGAACGGATTTGCCATCCCGTGTGACTTGGATGCTACCGCGTTCTTACTGACTCACCCACGCGGCGCCTACACCACTGCGCGCACCGTGCTGCAGACCAAGATCTTCGACTATGAAGCGCATATTCGTCGTCTAGGTCCGTGGCTTGAATAACAGCATACTAAAATGTATACTAGACGATGGCTGATCGGCTTGCTGCAGTGGAGTCTACGATCGCCATGCAGAGTGAGAAGCAGCTGACTCCGAGTGCCGTGGAGAAGGAGCTGAGACCAAGGACCGAGGCCACTATAGTCGCTGCGATGACAGCGTTCAAGGGGCTATACGAGGCACAAAAGAATCAAGAGTACAAGATCAATGTACTGGTGTGTCCTACCGAGGGTGACAAGGTGGACGGGGAAGTACTGGCAGACACAGACGTGTTTTGTCATGTGGGATTTCTACCTCCGCTACGTTCCGGAATGGTGAAGCTGGAAGTGGCAGGTCTGCCGCGTCATAATGCTGCGGCGAAAGACTCGGCCTGGGTGAAAGAACGGAAGGCTATTTATGACAGGATGGCGCCAGATATGGAGGAAGTGATCCTCATGGACCCAGTGACTCGACACTTACTGGAAGGCTCGCAAACGAACTTCTATACGATCCAGGATGGAGCAGTGTATACAGCAGAGGAGGGGATTCTCAAGGGAACGGTGAGGTCCCTAGTGCTGGACGTCTGTGAGGAAAATGGGATCCCCGTGAAGCTGACGCCTCCAACGCTGAATGACGTGGACAAGTGGCAGGGATGTTTTATATCCAGCACGTCCAGACTGGTGTTGGGAGCCAAGTCGTTGGAATATGAACACCCTGACGCCAATAAAACCACGACTCGGAGTTTCCTGCCGAATCCGATCTTAGATCAAATCACAAGTGTAGTTCGTCACGCCGTGATCGGTAAGAGCACGGAAGTATTCAAGTAGTGTCTTCAGTATCAATTCTAGCACTCCCCCTTACGACAATTGTGTCGTCCTCTTCAGTCTCTTGTGCGGTTCCTTTAGTAGCAATGAAGGAAGCATTTTGTTGACTTGGTTCATTCGATTGTTGCGTATTCTCTTCTTGCTGCTCCCAGGCCTGTGCATTGAGATATAAACGTTCTTTACGCTGCTGAAGAGCTTCTTGTCGCTTGGCTGCACGCTCCAATCGAAGCTGAGTGTCCGCTTCGGTCTTCGCTTTTTGCTGATCGTCCAGCCATTGCGTAACTTTCGCAGGTACAGTCATTCCAGTCAAGAGCTTCCATCTTACAAGCGGCCAACGATGAAAGCGCTCCGCTACTCGAGCCCGATATCCCCCGCCTACACGAAGCCAATTTCCCATAGCAGTCACGGCTTTTGATCGGTCATTCAGCAGAGCGAAGGCGCAGCTCAAACGCATCCAATCCGAGTCGTCAAACATCGATACAGGTATCTCCTTGTCGGTCTGCTGTCGTCGAAGCGCAGCCATTACAGCTTTGCGTTTCGAGGTCAATTCGGAAGATTTGTGTGTTTGGCGCTTCCTCATCACCAGATAGGCATCTTTTGCCAGGACGAGTTCCTGACGTTCTAAGTATCGGTCTCCAAGCTCTCGCCATGTCTCGGGAGCTTTGATCCAGTCTTGCCAAGTTGAGTACACGTAGTGTTGAGATCCTCTCAAGACCTTCCGGTACGCGTCTTCGTAGGCTACAGCACACAGTGCTCGACTAGATTTGCCCTCAAGTTCCATGATTCGAGCAGCTAGAAGCACGATATCGACAGATTTCCAGCCGAAAGGCGAAGCGTCCATTGTATGGAGAACATACTCGCGACTTTGTCGAAACATTTTTAAGGAAATCATAACAATGCCAGCACGGAAGATAACCTCTATCAGTCGAGTATAGCGAGGAAAACACAGGATGACCCCGCCCAGTATTTCAGCAGCATGTCTGTAGTCTCGGTTGAGTTCAAGGGCGAAGGCGATTTCTTGTAAGAAGGACGGGTTACTCAAGAACATTAAGTGCGTACTTGCCTTCTGGAAGAAGAACAAGGACTTATTCAGATAATCCCACTGGAAACAGGCTTGATAATGTTTGAGAAGACATCGTCCGAGTTGTCGTAGCAAAGCAGGAGGGACATCCTGATACGTACAAGGTGCAGAAGGGTCCTCGAATCGAGTGTACTGCATGCTGTGAACAGCTTCGAGAAGACATTTGCAAGCCGCTGCGTACTCTCCATTCTGCATGAGCAAAAAGCCTCGTCGAGATGCTTCGGACCCCCACGACCGCCCCAAGAAATGAGCTGCCACCTTTTTCCAGCGGTCACGAGTCTGTTGATTCGTACTTCCAGGACCACTTGTCGGTGGCTCGGGCTGTGGGAATCTTCGTCGATAAATCTCTTCCATGATGGGGTCCTTGTCGAAAAACTCGTGGTAGAAAAACCGACGTGCTTTCCTCTTCTTTGGAGGAATGTTATCCTCCGTTAGGGTATGTTCGATCGCCAAGTGAGCTCTAACGGCGTCGTAGTCCAGATCGAGAGGCGGGTGGCCTTTGAACTTCTCAACAAACTCCATGAATACTTCGACATTTAATCTTAAAAAATGAGGATAGTCGACCACCATGTGACGTAGCGCTGTGGCTTCTTGAGGAGACCACAGTAACTTCTCCAGCTGCGTACCTTCATCTTCCCAGGCCTGGCGTTCCATCGTAATAGCATCTTCTCGCATCATATGCATATTTCGTTTCTCTCTAACGCGTTTATCATGCAAGCGAGCCTCGAGTGTATCCAGATTTTGAGCTCTTCTGCCTTCCTCCTCCATGGCTTCTCGTTCGTGTTTCTCAAGAATACGATCAAGTTGCAGTTGCGCTTGTTGAACTCGTCGCTGTTGATTCTCTTCGTCGTACATTAGTGTACGGTTTCTCGCTTCTTGTAGTCGATCTTTCTGCTTGTTGGCCACTTGGTAAGCCATTTTCTGCATCTGCTCGAGCGTGTTCCTGTACTCCTCAGCTTTCTGCTGTATTCTCCTGATCATCTCGTCGTGTTCGTCTTCAATTCGCATCATCGCAGTCTCGTTAGCTTCACGTCGGCGCTCGATATCTCGAAGACGTTTTCTGTCTCGACACAGCTTGAAATACGCTTCTTTGCGCTCTTTCTCTTCGACATTTCTGCTCCGTGAATCTTCATCACGCATTAAATTATTCTCACGACGTTGACGCTCCTCAAGTGCCTTCTGCGTCTCCACCTTTGCGAATTGTAGCGGATCAAGAGAATATTTGGTCCTCTCCTTCTCACGCTTCACTTCCCAATGTTCGACTGCAGCGTTCTTTTTCTCAGCGAAATGCCATCGACGACTGCTCTTATCAGCTTCGTCCATTAGTTCTCGTTCTTTCTGTTCCTTCTTCATCTCTCCATACTTTTGCCGGCGTAATTCTTCCTTCAGATGTTCATTCTCCCTCAATCTTGCTCGTTCACCGTCGTGCTCGGCTTCTAAACGCCATCGTATTTCCTCTTCCTCTTGTTCTCGTCGTCTTAAACGTTTTTGTGCTTCGATCTTCGCTACTTTAGACAAGTCAGCCCAATGGGTTTTCTCTTCTTCACGGTCTATCAAACGTTGACGCTCCAGTTCGTCCTTCTTCTCTGCGTCTATCCGCATGATGTCTTCCATGTCTCGTAGTTGTCGTTGTGCTCGTTCCTGGAAGAATTTCTCGCGCTTGGACACTTCCAGCAGTCGATCACGAGCTTCAAGCTCTCGACGTTGATTTTCCGCCACAACGTACCGCGTTTGATACTCCTCGATCAACATGAGCGCGTTCTCTTCTTGTTCTCGACGTTTGCGTTTAAGCGTTTGTCGAATCCTCATATCCTCTTCAAGTGTACGCAGAGATCGCATAAACTCGCGCATTTCCAGTTCTACACGATGCATCAGCTCACGTTCACGAGCTTGCGCTAATCTATCGGTAGTTTGTGCCAATTCCTTCCTCAAAATCTCTTCATGAGCCTCACGCTTCTGTTCATGACAAGCTCGTTTTGCCTCCAAGAATCTCTCCTTGGCTGCTTGTAATTGTTGTTCTCGTTTAGCAACAAGTTGACGCAGTTCATGGACAGCATGGAAGAGCTGTCGACGTGTGGCTTCGACTGGACGAGCAGCATTTCGAGCTGCTATGGCTGCGCTCTTCGGGGCTCGTTGTTGACCTCGAGATACTTCGACAGCGACGTGTGTCTCCGTGACAAGAACCAGCATGGCGTTCAACTTTGTGGCTAATCTACGATCTCCACGCGCGATTTCGTGTAAGCGATGGAGGTTCCCAGTTGGAGAAATGGAGGCGAGAAGTAGTCTCAATCGAGTCTGGAGATCTCGTTTTACTTGTTTTCGAGTCACTCGACCTCTCCATGCAGCCTGAAGCTGTGCTGCGTGCAGGACTGTGAGGTTCAGTAAGCGTTCTCGTCGGTTTAACCATTTGCGCACACAGCATTGAACCGTACGAGCGGCTTCCCATTGGGCATATAAAGCCTGCAAGTTCCGACGACGTCGAGCCCAACGTTGACTGCGAAACCGGAACACACGCTGGATGTGAACTGCGAACGGAGCAAGAGTTTCGAGGCGTCGTTGTTCTTCATCATGCCATGCTACGTATTCACGCCAAACGTGCCATCGTGAACGCAGTCGTCGACGAGCATAGAGCTTGAATAGTGGCGTGAATTTGTAGACGCTGGCTAAGCTGGAGGCCCGAATATCAGCGAGAAGTGCGTGGACTTTCGTGTCTTCCTGGATTGCTTCAAGACGCGTTCGATGTTGCTCACGAGCGAGAGAATAAGTAGCTGAATCGAGTGGTTTGGTGTCGATTCGGCCTTTCGGTTGATCCTCAAGTTTAAGCAGAAGTGCCGGTACATCTGGAACAAGGCATTTAGGTGGACTGGGACATGGCATCTGAAATTCCTGACGTGGAATGGCTGCAGTAACTCGAGGAGGGGATGTAACTGGTGCAATGATCTCTTGAGCGACCACACTAGCAATTGCACCTCGGTTTCGAATAGACGCGCGTTTACTGTGCTCTGTACGACGCAATTTGATGTAGTTGATCGGCTCTGGTGTCAAGTCCAATAGCGTTGTCTTCATCTTTTTCGATCCTGTATCAACCACCGTTTTCTTCGCTGAATTTACTGACTTGACCTGTCCTTGATTTGCTGTGGGCTGTAATTCCACTTGTGTATGAGTCTTGAGCTGCTGAAGTTGACGGATCGATTGCAGTTCCCCTGGTCGGATATGCCACTCTGTCTCCACTCCATTTGGCTTCCCATTGTCGTAACTATCATCGGTTTGGAAAGGTGCACCTCCTAAGCTCTTCGTCGGGATATCTTCATGTGCTCTGACTCGGAATTGCATGGGCATACTGGATCGATTGCTATCTACTGTTCAAAACCTTTTTTAAGCTTGAAACGCAGTCTCAGCTCTATTTTTTTTTCTTGATCGCAATAGGTAGGCACGTTGATCACCTGAAGCGAATAGCGAGGTGTCAATGACTTCAAGTCATCCAGTAAGTGAAGAAGAATCTTTAGAAGATGTTGAGGACGATAATCAGGATGAAGAAGAAGAAGAGAGTGAAGAAGGTACTGAATCCGATGAGAGTGACGACGACAATGAGCAAAATCATTCAAATTCCACGAAGAAAATGTCAAAAACGCCAAGTAATTCCGTCAAAGTGCTGGCAGGTGTAGCAGCGTCGTACGTGATTCCTCCAGTGCGTCCAAAGCCTCCTCGACCGGAAGATAGCGGCAATGGCTTAAGAATCACGCAACAAAAGCAGATTGGCCGTGCTTGGACTGACGGGCCTCGTATCGATCTCGTACATTTAGGTTACGTCCAGGAGGATTTCGAGCGTCGACAAGAAGCTGTCGCGAATATCCGAGAACGAATGACATTAAAGTCACGACCGGGCTACCAACTTCGTGTTCGAATGCGCTGGAATTGTCAGTCACTGTCCCGATTGATTCTTCGTCGTCATTTCCTGTGGCTTCCCTGTGTAGTGAGCTCGTTACCTGAAGCTGTATGGGACGGCGATATCCTTCAGGTCCATACGCACTTACTGCAGCGAGCTGATGTCAACATGCGCGACTTCGTGACCGGTCAACTAGCGCTCAACATTGCCATCCAGCAGCAACACGAGGCTATTGCTCGTCTCTTGATTGATCGTGGAGCAGATGTGAACCAACAAGACGATGTCTCTCTGCTAGCTCCAATCCACAACGCCATCATCATGGGCAACAAAGCTCTGTTCCGACGTCTTCTTAAAGCTGGGGCCGATACTGAACTTGCAGACCGTGAAGGCTTCACACCTCTGCATTGGGCCTCTGTACGTGGGTATCTTGAGATCGTCGCGCAACTTGTCGAAGTGTCCAGAGCTGATGTGAATCGCCGAGACGCAATGGGCTGGACGCCACTCCACATCGCGTGCTTCAAGGGTTATCCAGACCTTGTGGAGTATCTGCTGACACGTCGTGCTCGTATTGATGTGGAGGATTGCTACGGGTTTACACCGATGATGTTCGCTCGTATCGCTGAAAATATGGACGTCGTCAAGAGCTTGGACGACTTTGTAGCACAGCAAGAAGTCAAAAGACTGCGAAAACTTGCAGCTGACAAGCCAAAGAAGAAGAAGAAGCGGAGACTTTCGTCTCCTAAACGGTTGTTCTTATCGGCAAAGAATTGATTAGTTGTCTTGCTTGTTCGTTTGGTCTCGAAGCATAACACGACGACGTCCAGGAGGAGGTAAGTACTCGATCTCGTCGCGGAATCTATTGCGATCCCAACGGAGAACTCGTTCCACAGGCACAATACGAGCGGTTGAAGCGCCGAGTTGCGTTAAAATCAGCTTGGAGGCTGCTGTCTCGGCCACATCGAGCGCTGTGAGGCCATACATGTTCTTGTGGTTCACATCGGCGCCGCCATCTTCAGGTTCGCGTCGTAGCAGCAACTTGAGGATTGTCTTGAGTGTTGCGAGCCGTTCCGGAGTCTCCGGAGTGCCAAGCACAAGCGCTGCAATCGCCACCGAGTTGTTCCCGTCTTCGTCAAAGCAATCAGCTTCTAGACGACTTTGAAGCCCCAGAAACTTCACTATATCTGACTGAGCGCTTGTGATTGCCCATAGCAACAAACTGCCAGGTCGCCAACGCTTCGGAATGTCATCCAGAGGCGACGCGACTGATAACAGCAACTTAAGGATGTCAACGTGGCCCGTAGAACAGGCGTAATGTAGTGGGGTGGCCTCCGAGGCTTCGAGCATGCGACTGTAGCGGAAGTTGGAGGTGCGTGGCGCTGTGCTCTCCAGTGTCGACTCGGCCGCTGGAAGGTTCAGATTGTCCGGAAGCTTCGAGAGAGGAGAAGCGCCGTGATGGAGCAGCAATCGCACAGCTTCAAGCTGTTGATGGAGCACTGCTGTATGCAGCAGCGTCTCTCCGAATGCATTGCACGCGCTGGTGAGTGCGTTGCCATCTCCGTTCATCAACGCGTGCTCCAGGGTCTGGACATCCCCCAACTCGATGGCACGTTGAAGTGGCAACAATCCTCCGCTGGTCTGCGCAGTTGGTAGACAACCGTCTATTGAACTCCGACTCAAGAACGCGCGATCTCCAGCTCCCAAGAAGCTCTACCAGCAGAACAAGAAGCTCAATAGGATTAAACTTGACAATTCTTTAGGCTACGCACATCGATGCCTCGAGGTGCAGCGCGTCGCAGCTTCTGGTCTACGGCGAAGGCTCTGGGAGTCAGCGGATTGCCGTTTACGTGGCACAGTCGCGTGCTCTCGAGCCTCGCGGCTCTAGCTTGCTGCTCAGGAGTCGTGTCATCAAGCAGCTCCATCGCGACGCTTCATGCACCGTAGCGACAAATATTGCGTGATTTATTGGCAATAATTGGATCGACAGTTAGACAGTTGTGTACATAAAGCTACTGTCTATTGAGTTATCGACGCGGGCTCTGAAGCTGGTCGACATATTAAACTGAGCAGTAGACTGCGGGACTAAGCACTGCCACCCACGAGAATGTTGTTGATAGGGATGTGCACGAGCTTCACGAAGAATCCAATGAAGCCCATCATGAGGAAACCCACGGACGTGGCGCCAGCGATACGGGCGAATTCTACAGAAGGGCAAAAGAAAAGGTCAGCTAACCGATTCTGGGGTTTATTACTGCGGAATAAAGCAACTAGAACGCACCTTTCCGGTCGGGCTTGTTGCACTTCTTAATCAGGTGCAGCGAGTTCTTGAAGAACTGGTTCAGCGGCTGGAACACGAGTGCGTTGACGTCCGACATTGCTGCTACAGTTGCGAGTGCGTGTGTGTCCGAGCTGTGGGGAAAACGAGGGAATGACTACGGGTAGGGTGCGGGCCACGCGGCGTTCGACAGATCGCGATAGACGGCTTTTTATCCAATGATACAGATGACAACGTGGTATTGGCTAAAACGCGAAGCAAATGCCACGTGTGTTGAAAGACACGTCTATGTACGTGCCCGATTTAGTGTGGCGCACAAAAACGAACTTTAAATTCAAAAAGTTGCAGTTGGCGCCCGCATTCAAAAGATGAAGCGGAGGCTGTGCGAAATGTCGGACGTGAAGGACGTGAAGCCCGAGCCTGACGACATGCAGCCGACGGTGGCGACGGTTGTGGCTCAGCAAGTTGCTGCAGCTCTGCTGGCTCCACTTACAGGCGGCAGCGCGGCGCGCTTCGGGCGTGTGGTCTTCGGAGAACAGGAGCAACAGAGCGTCAACGCCTTTCTCCACCAGAAATTGGGTAAGGACAGTCTGGCCCGCAGACCCGGACCCGGTGGTCGGAAATTGACGTACATTGAGAGTTGCAAAGCCATCGAATTGGCCAATCGCGCATTCGGCTTCAACGGGTGGTCATGTCACATTGTCGAGTGTAAGGAGGAATACGTACGTGAAGTCGGGGCTGTAAGTGTGGTTTGTGGAGTGCTGAACAGTTAATGGTGTGTGTAGAAGGAGAAGAAGGGCGATCGCTGGAGCATCGGGTACAGCTCGCTGGTGCGCATTGAGCTGAAGGATGGCACAAGTCATGAAGACGTTGGCTTTGGCACGTCGGACGGACAAAGAGATCTGGGAGCGGCATTGGAACAGTCCAAAAAAGCAAGCATTTCAGATGCGAGAAAGAGAGCATTGAGGTTGTTTGGAGAGTACCTGGGCAACTCTTGCTATGACAAAGACCATATCAAGGACGTCAATTCGAACAAACCCATGGCTCCGCTGGCGGCGGCACCAAACGTGATTCTACCAGGACAGCAACAACAGCAACAGGTTCAGAGTGGCGGTGGCGCAGTACCTTTGGGGCCAAATAGGCAGACTAGCGCGCCAAGTGGACTTCAACCACCACCACAGAACCAGCAGCCCCAGGCTCAGCAAGTAGCGCAGCAACAACGACCGCCGCAGGCTTTTCAACAGCAGCCGAACGTTCAGCAGCCGATGCAGCAGCAACCTGAAGTGCAGAATGGACCTCGACCACCACCAAACCAGCAGCAGCCTCATCAGCCTGTGCAACATCAACAAAATCAGCAACAAGAGCGTCAACCGATCCAACAGCAACGACCACAGACGCCCCAGCAATCGATCCAACCGCACCAACAACAACAGCGTCAACCACAACAACCACAGCAGTGGAAGCCGCCCCAAGTCCTGCGTAACCCTCAACCAACGAATTACAATTCATCCATGCAACAGCAAACCCAGGGACTTTCCACTGCCAGTTCAAGGAATCCAACAATGCAAACGGCTGCGAGCAAAAGTATGAGTTCTGGATATATAGCTTCTCCTTCGACAGCAACGGCAAGCGCTTCGTCAAGTCCGTTCCGCCCGCAGCCGCAGCGTTGGATATCGTCGAATGCGCCACCTCCGCCGCGGATGATGACGTCGAACTACCCTCCAACAATCGTCAAGACAGAGCAACCTTCGACGGTCCAAGCTCATGCGAACGCTCAATACAACATGGAAGATCTCAGCCTCTCTCAATTCGACTACGATCCTAAAGTGGAAAACAACAATCCAGCAAAGAAGATGAGGTCGTAACACGCGAGGAGACTCGATCAAATACTTCCTCTGGTCGGAAATGATCACGCGAAACTGACAAAATGACCAATCGCTTCAGCTCTATTTATCCAATACGGCATCTGATTGGACCAAACGGAAGCCCTGCACCTCCTCTTTTTAAAGCCACCGGTTGTGCGCAGAACGGACTTCTATAGCCTCTGCAATTTCAGTTTTAGCTCTCAAGGTTTCAAGCCTCGCCTGGAGTGCGACCCGCCACGCCTGCGCTACGCTGTTTCTTCTTCTATAAACATGCCGAAGTCCAACCTTATCGACAACGAGCGCAAAAGCCGTCATTGACGAGCTTCTAAAGATCAGCAACAACAGAGAACTACCCCGTGAAGCGTTTGATGTTCTTATGAGCCGACTTCCGGACACCGTGAAGTTAATTGGAGCTGTACAGCTCTGCAATGACGGCTGGTGTCGTAGGGGTGAGTGACTTAACCGGCTTAAGAAGAACAGCGGCAGAAAGCGGAAGAATCGAGACGAAGTACGTGACAAACTGAAGAGCATTCCTATCGGGGATAGAGCAGTTGAAAGACGTGTCAGTTAGTATGATAGGTTTTTCAAATTTCTATCGAGGATTGAACAGTTGAAAGACCTATCATACTAACTTCGCGTGATCATTTCCGACCAGAGGAAGTAGTAATTGGTGAAGCTGATGCACATGAATCCTACGGTACGATGCCGTTCGTGATCTTCTGGAACTGATCGTAGCGCTTCGTCCACTTGTTCTTGTAGCTCACACGAATCATCTTGACGACCGCTTTGACTGTTTTCTCGGTGGAGAACTGAAGCAGAAAGCGATTGCGAAGCTTCTGTAGATCTCGAGACACGTCACGTCCCTGAAAACATGGGAAGGTTGAGTTGTGCATCATAATCTCGACCAGCGCCACGACTCGATCAGACTGACGCTGAGCTGCTAGTAATCCTAACGCCACCAGCTGCACAAACTCGCCGAATAGTGGGGACGACACGCCACCTAGCACTGCCACCATCTCTTTGGTTAACTTGAAAGGCGCCGTCTCAAAGCTCCAGTTGCCGCCTGGAGCAATGCCGAGCATGAAGCCGAAGTCAATGTGCACGAGGTGGCCTTCTGTATCCAGCATGATGTTTCCATTGTGACGGTCTTTGATCTGCAACAAGTAGCACACCACGGAGTAGGCAGCGAGACTGTGCAAGAAGTTACGCTGGGCCTTCTTGAAGGCATCACCAACATCATACGTTCTCTCGAAGTGAGCTCGCAAGCCTGCGTAGTCGCCCCTCTTTTTGAGGCCATCCAACGACTGCGCATCTGTGATCGTCTCGAGCAAGCCGCTGGTACGACCCGTGGACACTATTCGATACGGACGTAGCCACAATGGAAGACCGCTCTCGTGGAATATGTTCTGGAACGTGGTGATCAGCTGCATCGCGAAAACCTCCTGTCGAATATCATCGTTGCTCTTGGAGATCTACACAACAGGATAAGAGTCAATGCTCACGTGAGGAACTACATGTAGAGTATATATGTAGTTAGTTTGCTTACCAGTGAGATGACGTTCCATCCGGGTAAATGGCCATGCGGCGATGATGCGCGAATCCGCTCCTTCTTCGCTTCCCAGCCTTCACCAAAGACCTCGCTTGCACTGAGCAGCTTGGAGAGACCCATTTCGTATGCTGTTTTGGAGTATCCGCGAATGACATTCAGCTGCTGCGAGTCTTCTCTGCTCAGCTCAGACGTCGAGTCCATTGAATCGTCGGACGTCACTGTGGTTGTTGGAGAATTCAAGCCACTTTGCAAAGGGAAAACAGGCGCCTCAACGCTGTCAGTCGCGTCGATATCGTCACGGTTACCTTCAGTATCAGCGCCATCGTCCTCGTTCTCATGGGGACTTAACGCGTTCTCAACACAGATAAGTTGCCCATTAATGGCAATTTTTTTGACGAGACGGGCAACTTCAGCTTCTAGGCTGGTCAGACCTGGGTCCGATGCGGATTTACGGAGCATGTCACTAGGATTCTTCAGTTCTGTTGAGAGTTTGCGTTGACCAGCAGAGTTGACTTGGTCTTCGATCACCTCGAAGCAGAGCAAGCACGGCGCTCGACTGTGGGTAGAGAATACTGTGCCTTCGTCAGTGAGTACACGAGTAATGCGACAAAACGAATCCGACACACGACCGAGAGGTATGTACGCCATGTCTGGGACCACCAGCGCTTTCAGCTCTCCAGGAAGAAGCTTCTTACGGTTCTGGGGTGGGTCAACTGCGCGCATGCGTTCCGAAATATCTGTAAGTGCCTTCACGAAGTCTCGCTGCTCGTGGAAATACTTGTAGCGCTTCTTACGCTCCTTCTCCATCCACTGCAAAAGCAGTGCAGGCTGACTTGCCGACTTGCTAGGCGTCATGGGTGCACTTCCTGTCTCGAGTTGAGCTGATGCCAATTCCTCGTCCTTGCCGTGAGCTTCTCCTTCCTCTTCGACAGACACTTGCTCCAATTTATCCATCATCTGAGGGATATCCATGAGTCGTCGAGTGACATCTTCTGCCGTCTGCGTGCTGGGCACTTCAAATTGCTGATTGACGACTTTAGCTTCAATGGACATGAGGAGCTTGGCGCACAAATTGTACGTCTTCGGATCATGGTCGGCGATCTTGGCTTCCAGAAGCCAGAAGAGCTGCAAGGCCAAGTGAATGCAGTTGCCGAGGTGTTCGACGTACGCTTTCGCCCGGCAGATCGAGAGAAGCAGATTCACCAACTTATCCGTTGCTACCAGTTCGGTATTGACGGTCAGATGGACGATCTGTTGGATGTAGAACTCGACATCGTCGACATTTTTCTCTGCGTAGGAAGCCAAGCGATCCAGCACCAGTTCTGTTGCCACCGTATTGGAGCGATACTTGTGCAGCAATGCTACAGCCATGTGGGCACCGAAGGTATCCGCCGACAAAATAGACTCGAAGAAAGTCTTCTCGCTGTCGCCACAGTTGACGTGGATTGTAGACAAAGCGTGCAACCAGCGCTCCTTCTCGGTGAGAGTGTCGGCTTCAACCACAACCAGTTTCGACTTGTGCGAGCTGATAACAAGCGTGTTGTCGTAGCTGACCGATGCCCCGAGCAGCGCTACTCGTACGCTCGCTTCAAGCTCCATCGCATCCTTGACACCAACCACACTAATCTGTTTCTTCGGGGCACTAGGTGACATTGCATCGCCCGGCTTGGTCTTGAACACAAGCAACGTGTCACCTTGTAAAATACAATACCGTCGTTGACGCATGCGCTTGCGAAACACCAGAAACCCCTCGATCTTACGTTCGCTCGGCACTTCAACGTTAGGTGCTGCAACGTCGCTCAATTCGGCACCACGAATGCTCAGCTCGTTCTCATCTTGTCCAGCAGCCTCTCCAGTTCCAGTTTGTACGTGCAGACGCTCGTCTTCTTCTGCTTCCAGCTTCTTAGAGGGAGATCGTGAGAACAGAAACGAGCTCCTCGTGACGGCCTTCATGGACTACCAGCACGACTGAGAGGCAGTCTCTACTGAGGTACTGAACGTAGACTGGTGTCTTCATTTTGCGGGGTCCGGTCGTTTTTACCTAAACATAGCACTTCATCGACAGGAAGAGAACGCGGGTGAGCTCAGTTCTCGTTCTATGTTCAGCACACAACCCTCTAAAACAAGAAAAGCTGCCAAACAAATCCAAAATCAAACGAGTAAAACAGGACTCCTGACACATTGACATCACCTCTTAGGAGAGCGTGGTTTTAGCTCTCGCTGGTAAGATCTGCGAACAAGTCACCATAGAACTCGCCAGGAAGCTTCGGACGCAAGTGTTTCTCAACAAACGATGAGATCACCTTGCTGCGGTTGGCCTCTGCACCCACAGGTGAAGACGACACTGCGCCAATGTCGTGTTGGTATCGCAGGAACGACCGCGAAAGAATGGCAGCGTTGATGGCTGTTTGACGCACTAAAGGAGCCAGCCAAGCACCGTTGATGACCATACCGTCTAGCAATGGGCCCAACACACGGCTAGTGTACACGTCGGCTTCGTCCACATAATCCTCTTGGTTTGCAATAACGTCACGTTGGTTGAATAGCGGGGATGACTCGTGACTCACGTGCACGCAGTAGAGGTCGTTGCCCAGTGGGTCAATGATTAGTACCACACCCGACGTCGGCATCGGCAGCTTAAATACTGCATCCCACAAGACGCTGCCTGGACGGTACGTCTGCTGGCATTCGTTCCAAACAATAAGTACATTGGCGTGCTGGAATTGCGCTCTTGCATTCGCCCCTTCCGTGTCTTCAGCATCACTGTCACTGTCGCTGTCACTGTCCTCCTCTCCGTCCAACAGCAGTGTTGGTACGTAGATGCAAGCCTCGTGACTATAGTGGGAATAGTAAAGCATCCGGCCCTTCACGAGTTCAGCATCGAAGCCAGAGTGTCCAGTGTGATCGTGCTCTTCGACTTGTTCACCAATCGAAGAGAGGAACAGTCGATAGTCTTTTGAAAGCTCGACGTAGCCAGCACGCACATCCGTCGACGTCGCCAAGTGAATCTGATCGTAACCGCCTCGAGACGTGCCAGTGAATGCATACGCAACAGAAAAATCAAAAGTCTCGCGCTCAGGAAGCTTGTCCAGAGTCTCCAGGTCACGGAGGAAATCGGTAGTCACAGTTGCATCCATCGCAAAGACTGAGCCCCAGTTGCGCACCGACAGGAAACTCAGTTCACTCATCATTCTTCGAGAAACTTCCCACGTTTGCAGTGCAGCGTCCTTCTCCGGTGGCGTCGGCTTATAGCACTTGACACCACGTGCAGACCCCTTTGGCTGAGACGCAAGCTTATCCTCTTGGCTTTGTGCCACGAGCAGACTCATGAAAACGGCGTCCTGAGTACCACGACCATCATCACGACCGGCCTGTGCTTTACGCTCTATGGTGCTCATTCCAGAGTTACCCTCGCCAGTTAACACCTTCGTGGGGTCCGAGTCCGTGTCAACCTCACCAGACGGTGACGAACGCCAGCTTGTCATTGGAGTCTTGGCATGAGTGTCGCGGATCGCCGTAAGCAAAGGGTCTTCCACCCGTGCCTCCTCGTCACTTTGATAATCTTCGTCATCGCTGTCGTCATGAGTGTTAGCATCGGAATCAAAGTCACTGTCCCGTCGAGAATCTTCACAGAAGTTCTCAAAGTCAGCAATGCTCTTGGGGCGAGGCCCATCCCGGTGTCGAGGCTTAGAGCGCCAGACATAACGGCCGGTTGAGTCTCGCATGATCAAGATCGCTTCACCGGCTTGTGTAGCATTCGCTGGTTTCTCGATAACCGTGAGAATGGAATTCTTGTTGACTGAGAAGAACCGGCAATGGCGATAGATGTCAGTCGAGTCATTGAGCTCGCAAAACTGTGTAAGTACCGACTGTAACAAAGAAACAAAGTAAAACAGCTCAGTATCGCAAGCTTCAACGCCATCCCAGGCGTAATTTAGTCTTACCTTCTCCGTTAAACCCGACGAGTGAGTGCCGATAGACCCTGCATTGGTGGTGTGCGACACATGATGCTTCATCAGCATGTTCACCAACTTCCGAGCAGCCTCGCGGACGGCCATGTTCGTGGTATTAGGAGACAACGACTGGAACCGTTCGTTGCCGTCCACGATGGTTGTGATGATCTTGGCAATGACTTGTTGTTTGCTCAGCAAAAGAGGCGCGGCGACGATCCACTCGATGATGCAGTGGTACGCTGCAGCCATGAGGCTATCCAGATAAAACGGTGCCGTTCTTGACCGCAGAATAGGCGCGCTGTTGCTGATAAAATCGCAGCAGGCGTTCACCAAGTGAACAACGGAGTTTGCGTGGTGAAAGAACACTTCTTCACACACCAGCGACAAGTGGCGCAAACATTCGAACGCAGTGAACAGCACCGGTGGCTTGTACTTCTGCGACTTGCTGATTATGGAGCAAATCAGCAAAATCGTGAAAGGTACCTGCGAGTTACGACTAGAAGCCAAGCCGCTCGTCCAGAAAGCAGCCTCCTGCTGGATGGCCACAGTCATGATCCACATCATCATCTGCTGGTTGGTGGGGTCGGTCTCCGTCTTGATAGCTGTCATGAGCAAGGCAACGACGTTCGAGCTGGTGTACTTGGGCAAAGTCGAATACAGTCCTGGAATGTCTGCCATCGAAGGCGCCACGATCTCCTTCTCGGCCTCCTTGATCAGATTACGCGGGACGTGAGCATGGATAGTCAGAAGCGAGCTGCAGGCCTCGATACTTGCACGTCGTAGCAGTACAATTGGGATCCCACCAATATGCTGATCATCCTGAACGAAAAAGGGATCTCCCCCACGTCGCCCATCGGCCTTCGTACTTGAAGACGAATCCTTACGCTCCGCAGCACGGAACACACGCTCGACAGCCTTGTGGAATGGCCCCGCAACAACGCCTGCGCCACGAAGGGTGTGGTTCCCGTACAAAGTGAACACATTAGACCAGTTGTACACTGCAGAAGCTGCGATACGGTCGTCGTCGTCGAGTAATGCGTTCTGTAAAGCCATCAAACTGCGCACACTGTACGCCCAGTTGACACGTTTGGAGCGGCCGTTAGAGTAATGACACAAGAGCTTTCCAAGACACCGAAGAGCTTCGCTACGACCTGCAGCAAAGCGCGGTTTGCGGGTCAAACAGGCGTCAAACAGCCACGGTCCAAGCAGCCTCAAGATTGTGTTGACATCAGGCGGAGCTCGTGGTTGATCTGTAGTCGTCGGTGTGGTTGTAGACAAATCTTCCGACGCATCTCCATCACCATTCTGTACTCCTTGGAACACTGGGCTGTCACGGTTCGGGGTCTGGTTAAGCGCACCCAGCACGTGCTCCCACTGCACGCGTGGCACCTTTTCAATGCGTGCAAGTTCATCAGCAAGTCGACTAACTCCTTTTACAGCAGCGAGATACACGTCCGGGTCAAAAATGGCAGAAGGGTGGCCGATCACGCGAAGCAGACGGTACCAAGCGTAGGCAAGCGTGGGGCTCTCCAACTCGAACTTGGACGGCTGTCGGTTGTCGGCCCAGATGATCTCGATCTCTTTCGACGCGTTCCGGTCGTGGATCTGCTTCATCAGACTGCGTGTAAGTCCCAGGGTGACAGCGTTCCACTGCTCGATAACCAACGCGCGATGAATCCACCGCCGACAAAACTTCTGTAATAGACTCCACAACTCTCCCCTGGGTCCGCACTGTGGCAGTGATCGTAAATATACTTTAAACAGGATCCTCACAAGCTGTCCACATAACTGGTTGCCCAGTTGATTGCGTAGATTATGCAGCAATCCATCCGCCGCACCGAGAATCAAGCGGATCAAGCGATCCCACGTCGAGTTGGAAAGCTGAGCTCCACGATGCTTCATCAGAGCATCAAAAGTCTCTAAAACTCTGTCAATAGCAACAGAAAATATATATCAAACACACACAAGCAATAAAAAAAGAGAGCAGACTTACTTGGTGCACAGAGCTACGTGTGTAGCCATGTTGGTCTCGCTGCTTCCACTGGGGACGCCGTTGTTAGGGCGCTCTTCGAAAAGCAGCGTCATCTGGCCCAGCATATCCTGAATAAAGGTCTGTTCAACTTTCTGCATGCAAGGCGGTCTGTGATCCTTGCTTTTGCCGCCTTTAGCTGTCAGAGTTTCGTCGTCCACTCCGAGCCAACGCTGGTAAATTCCCAGTGAGCCTTGAATGACGTCCGAGTCCTCCATGGGCAACGCAAATGAGTGACCCAGCACCTCCATAGCCCAGCGAATGTGGTGTCCACTAGGTAGAACCGATTGCGTGTCCACGTTCTCCTCTGTGAGGTAGCCCACGATCATGGAGCACATTCCGCGCTGACATTTGTCTGAGAATTTCTACAAGTTTGACAATAGAGTTAGAGCCAGAAAGGTGGAGTTTTAAGCATTCATGGGAGGCAGAATGCACCTTAAGCACGTAGGAGTCGGCAGAGACCGGCACCAGCTCGCACTTGGAGATCCACGGCAGGAACATGACGCCGCCCGCGTGTCCGACAGCTTGGTAGAGTGCGGGAAAGAGGGGGCGATGGCGTTCTTACAACGTACACATTTATAAGCCATAGGACAAAACATGACATCGGATTGGTTGAATTTGCAGCATAGGGTGCGGGCATATTATTCACCAGGAGACGGTCGTAGAACGTATCGATCATTTCAGCAGGCAAGGACTGCGCACTTCGACTCTTTCCTCGCTGCGGGCCGCGGCTCGGCGAAGGCTCCAGATATGTCTCAATTCCAGCCTCTGTCCCCTGCGCTCATGCGGGTCACGGCACCTCGCTCCGAGGACTCAATGGACAGTCGCACACCGCGTCGACGACGAGATCGCGGTGGTCTAATGAAGCTCAAGAAGGGCGAGGACGGCAAGAAGAATCTTTTCGAGGCCATTTTCTCCAAGAAGAAGAGCCCTAATAGTAGCAGCGGTCTGCCTTCTAGCTCCTCTAATACCAGCCGACGGCCACCCGCCCCCAGTCCTGCGGCGATTGCCCGCGGAGTTGAGATTCTACACTCGATGTTCCCCAAGTGGGAAGAGGAGACGCTGCAGGTCGTACTGGAGGCGAATATGTTCATTATGGAGGACACAATCACGGCTGTACTAAACATGGAGAAAGCCGAGGACAGGACAAAAGAGGGCGGGGAGACATCTAGGGATGATGCTGACCGCACTAATTGGCCTGTGAAAAACCCACTGCCTGATGACTTTCTGAGGGTGCGTTTACACTGATATTAAACCGCGGTATGGTATTAAGCTTATGGTTACTTACTTGGTGCAGCTGCCCGACGATGACGAATGCGAAGAGGTAAAGTATGTCCCATCGGAGGAAGGTCTTGGTGAAGAGGATGAAGAGGAGTGTGAAGAAAGTGAGAAAGAGGATGAAGGGGGCTTGGAGGAGAAAATTGAAATTACTGTGAGGTTCGACGCTGCGGAGGAGAATCGATCGGATAGATCGAATAGCACACTGGCGGAGGATGATGGCACGCTGTTTGGGAAGGAGTTTGACGACGACACTGCGTCTACCGACGAGGTGATTACCCCCGTGCTCGATGATGCAGCGATACTTGCCAAGCAGAAGATGGTGGACGACTCGGTGAACCAGAAATTCCTCCCGGTGGAGCTTCGCCATGAACGATCAAGTATCTTCGACATTGCGCACATTGATGTCATCAAGAAGAGCAAACTGGATCTGTCGGAAGCGGAGAAACGGATTCGTCACAGGGAACCACATCTAGTGTTTGAGTTGCTGTCGAAGGCGAGCGAGATCTACCGCAATGGTGTCATCTCGAGCCAGGAGCTTGATTACCTGCGCTCTATGATCTTGTGCAGGATCCAGCCTACCAAGATGGTACGTTTGCTCGCCGCTGTGCAGCACGTGGCTGTTAAATCGATTGAGGTATCCAAAGCTAACTTGTTTACGTATCAGCTGATGGACATGACGATGAACATGAATGGCATGATCTCAGATCACGAATGGCATCTGCTCATCTTAAAAGCGAAAGGTAAGTTGGCACTGTGTGCTCGACAAAGCGTTTCAGGGACACATCTTACGTCAATTTTTAGGAATTCGTCATGCGCTTTGCATTCGAATCTTTCGGGAAGAAAGCAAACCTGCCCGGAACAGTGGCCACATGGTGCGTGTCTTGTATTCAGGATCCTTGCTTATTGCGGTAAGCTCGCTCACTAAATTTTGTGGGTTGAATCGTTTCTGCAGGAGTATATTGTGCGTGTTGTAGATGTGGAAAGTGGCGTCGTCTGGTTTACGCGGAAGCGCTTCCGTGAGCTCTATAAGCTTCACCGCAAAGTGCGTTAAGTTATCTCTTGGTGGTGATTTTACGTTTCTAACGCTTGAGTGTGTGTTATTTTTCTGCAGTTAAGTCGTCTATCTGGACAGGTGAATGAGTGCGTGTTCCCAACTCGTCGTGGCCATGGCAGAAACTCCCCGAACCAGCTTGCTTACGACCGAGCGCCAGTGCTGGAAAACTTTTTACGTACCACCGCAGCACTTGTGGCTCCGTCGCCACTTACGTTCTTGCATGGCGTCGCTCTCAAGCAACTCCAACAGTTTTTGGATGTTCCTCACGTGGGAATCCTCGAGCGAAACCGCACTCAACCTATCTCGCGTGAACTCCGTGTATTCGTGTACCACACTGTGAGTGACGTCACGTCTCCAGAAGGCAAGGCCTGTCAGAAGTTCCTCACCAAGATGAAGCAAAGTGGCTTCAACTCCGGGAAGAATGTACTGGATGAAATTGGCGAGATCTTGGACGGTGTACAGGAGTACATGCTTGAGCATCGATATGAGGAGATGGAGCTAATCGTTCAGCGGCTGATGAAGCAGATTATTGGCGGGAACGCTAGCAACCCGGCATTAGGTCGGCACAGCTCGTTTGTGAGTCTCATGACCACCGATGCAGCAAGCAACCAGGACAAGTTGCAGCAATTAGTATCGGATGCTATTCGGCATGAGCTTGAGGACCGCATCTGCGTGCCGCTGATGTGGGATCTGACACAGTACATTCGACGGCATGTACAGCACGAAGAGCGTCAGTTCCGTCAGCGCGTGTTCCAGCTAAAAGGGAAGCCGCAGAGCTACTTCGGTATCCCGATGGACAAGATCTCGTTGAGTAGTTGGCGGTCCGTGGTGGATATCATTAAGGAGATTGACGGAGCCTTCTTGCCATTGGACAAGATGCGAAAACTGGTCGCTACAGCGCACCAAATTCATGCAGTCTACAAGGCTGAACGCACTATGTATCTCGAGCGGCCGCACCACCGCCGACAGCGTTCAACGCCAATGGCTGGCTCGTTCTTGCAGCCTCAGACGTCTCCGTTGTCGGTGAACCCGACGCTGCCGCGGACGAACAGCGGCTCCAACCGATCGTCTCGGGGTCTGACTGTTGGGGACGAGTCTGAGGCCCCAACTGAAATCAATGTGAGTGCGCAAGAACAGAACGATGAGGTGGACGCAAGGGGGAGCGAAGTGTCCACCAAGACCCAAGAGGAGGACGTGCTGAGCGGAGACGACTTCCTGCCCATATTTATTTATGTGATCGTCCACAGTGACCTGGAGGCCCCGATCCTCACACAAGTACTTTTGAATCGCCTCTGTGACCCTGAAAAGCGACGCAGCGAGTCCGGCTACTACCTTGCTACCTTCGAGGCTGCGTTGCACCATATTTTGTCTCTGGAGCTTCCTGGTGTTAAAGCAGACGGCCTGTAGACGAATTAGTGTAGCCATTTCTAAAACACGGGTAACTTCGGTGTAGCCATTTCTAACCTTTACAGTCCGGTGTATCAAATTTGGGTCTGCCACGCCACATTCTAAGGGGGGGACTAAACCCATAGTGAAGCAGCGTCACTTCGAGACTGCAGCAACTTTCGCCCAAGGTGGCAGCGCGAGAGCAGAGCGTGCGGCATTTGGAGCCGCACTGGTGGCCCCGGAGACTGCGCGTTCGGCCCTAAGTTTGGCCGTCCAATTGGCTGCGTCACTTACCGTCCAGAGCTTCATCTTCATGTTCGGAATGGACCCAGTGCTGTCTGGGTCGCTCTGCTTTTTGGTGCTGGCCATTGCCATGTACCTCAAGTTCATCCGCGAGCAGCCATGGAGTGACGAGGAGGTATCAGATCATAAGGGTAGCCCCGTGGACGGAGACGATACCATGCCTTTCCTGCATCCAGCGTCTCCTGCTGGCAGACTACAGGCTCAGCAGCAAAAGCGAGGAGCAGGACAGGGTCGACAACAGGTCAAACAGAAGCAGCAACCTTCCCGACAGTCTCAGCAGCAACCGCAACCTCATCATGGGTACGCAGGATTCCAGCAGAGTCGACAAGCAGCGTCTTCAGCTGTGGTAGCGGCTGGTGTGGACGCCACAGCAGCATCAGGAGCGACCTATTTACCCACTAAGAAACAGCCAATGAGGAGGAGGACTCACAGTGCTACAGCAACATCTACCGCCTCTCCTAGCAACAAGATCAAGAGCGGAGCTGTAGCTGCAGACGCAATAGACCACAGTATGGACCAATTGCCCACTACCATCTACGAAGGAGCCAATTACGACCAGTTCAGACAACAGAGACAACCGCAGGATTCTGGACGAAACCAGCACCGCATCACGTTCGACGACTATGACGAAGAGATGGGATTTTTGTCGCCACCTCGACATGCAGACACTGCGAATGATTCCCTAGAGAGCGTGTCTTTTGAAGCCGGGAGCGATGATTTTTACGACCTGGAGAACCGCCTTCCCGATGATCATTTGCTGAATATTGCAGACACACCCGAACGAGGACGAAAGCCGCTTCGTATTGGAGAGCAGTACCGTGGTGGCGCCTTGCTGGAAACAGCAGATCTAGCTGAGGTATCTCCCAATGCAAAGACGTTGAAGACGAATATTGAGCGTCAGTTCGTGCGCGATGTCGCCCCGCCCGCACAAATGCAGCTTGAAGTTGCACGAAAGGCTCGTATCCCGTTGTTCCTTCACTCGCCGATGTATGTCAGAACATCGGCAGCACCTTTGATTGACGAGATAGATGCGGAGTTTACAGCTGAATTTGCAGCGGAGGAGGCTCAAGCACTTGAGGCCGTTGGAAATAATCAAGAGCAGCTTGATCCTGCTGCTGTGGCTGAAGGTCAAGGGGCGGGAGCTGCTGATGCTGCAGCTGAAAGTTACTCGCGAAGGAGGAGGCCGAAATTGTCCAAGGCTAAGAATGACAGTTTGCATGTGGACTTTAAGGAGCTGCAAATTGAGGAGATGATTGGCCAGGGGGCTTTCGGAACGGTGCATCGTGCAAAGTGGCGAGGAACGGCAGTAGCTGTCAAGATTCTGGTATGCCAGCATCTGACAGCCGACATTTTGGAAGAGTTCGAGGCCGAAGTGCAGATCATGAGCATATTAAGGTATTGCTGGGCTCTTGTGAAGGTGCAGAGGTGTAATTTTTGGTATCTAATTTGGTTCATTATGCTATGTCGATAGGCACCCTAACATTTGCCTGCTGATGGGCGCGTGTCTTGAGCCACCAACGCGCTGTCTTGTGATCGAGTACTTACCACGCGGCTCGCTCTGGAATGTCCTCCGTCAAGATGTTGTCATCGATATGGGCAAGCAATACGGGTACGCTTTTGGCAGGGTCGCCTCGTGCTAGGAGATTCTCTTACGCTTTATTATTGTGCTGAACTGCAGATTTGCGCGTGATACAGCGTTGGGCATGAACTACTTGCATTCGTTCCAACCTCCGATCCTACATCGAGACTTGAAAAGTCCCAACTTGTTGATCGATTCATCCTACGCGCTCAAGATCTCGGATTTTGGGTTGGCTCGCGTTCGTGCACACTTCCAGACCATGACGGGTAATTGTGGCACAACGCAGTGGATGGCGCCTGAGGTTCTAGCAGCCGAGAAGTATACAGAGAAGGCTGATGTGTTTTCGTACGGCGTCGTGGTGTGGGAGACCGTCACACGGCAGTGTCCGTACGAGGGGTTAACGCAGATTCAAGCAGCTCTTGGAGTACTGAACAACAACCTGCGGCCAACAGTTCCCGAAAATTGCCCACCTCTATTCAAGAAACTTATGACGCTGTGCTGGGTGAGCTCTCCAGAGCAGCGACCAAGCTTCGAGACTGTGCTGGAGATCCTGAACAGCTCCACCGATGGCTCTTTGCCTCGGCAACGCGAGCGAAGAACCAGCGACGCACATGTGCGGTAACCTCGCAAGAGTAAACAAAGTTTATGTACGAACAGGGGTCGAGACATAGTTAGAATGAATACAAGCCGTGCAATTGATCAACGCAGGCACAAACTGTGAGCAAATTTTTGTTGAAGCTGTTCAACCCACAGTGGGTCCCACCTTCATTTGCAAATCCCAGTTTGATGGACGCATAAAATGTCGCAGATAAAAAAGTCAGGGTTTTTCGGGTCAAGAGCTTGCAAATCTTTGGTTTTATTTGAACTAGCCCTGCATACGTCACTCACCAATCTTCTACCGAAGACTCAAGTGATCGTCTCTTCCTCGTCAATGGCTCCCTCCGCAGACACGACTCTAGGCCTTCTGGGCACGGGCAAGATCGGCTCGGCCGTCTTCTCCGGCTTCTGCAGCGAGAACGGCTGGCAGCCCAAGCATGCGCTCGTTTCCGCACGCACCAAGGCCAAGGCGGAGGCGTTGGTGGCCAAGTTCCCAAGCCGTGTGAGCATCGGTGCTTCCAACCAGGAGATCGTGGATAAGAGCGACGTCATTTTCATCGGACTGTTGCCCAACGTGGCGCGTGAGGAGCTGCCTAAGCTCTCTTTCGCCGGTAAGAAGGTGGTCTCCATGATGGCTACGATCCCCTACGACGAGCTGCTGCAACTCGTCAAGCTGCCCACCGAGAGCGTCGTGCGCTCCGTGCCGCTACCTGCTGCCGCCAAGCGTGCTGGTCCCATTCTGGCCTACCCGGACAATGCGTTTGCGCGTGACCTGTTCGCACAGATCGGCACGCCCGTCATGGTGACCGAGGAGGCAGAGATCACCAAGCTCACGGGCATCACTGCTCTCATTTCATTCTTCTACGCTACGTGCGACACTACGCAGAAGTGGTGCGTCAACAACGGTGTCGGTACGTGCAATTCTCTCCATTGCTGGCTTATGCTCATTGGAAATTAATGTGCTAAAACGAATCTTTGACGGTTGACAGGCGACCAGGCTTCGCGCGACTACATTGCGTCCTTCTTCCACGCGCTGGCCACAGCTGGTGCCGAGTCCAACGAAGGTTTTGGAGAGATGGCCGACGAGGCCGCCACATCTGGTGGTCTGAACGAGCAGGTGCACCGTGCGCTACAGGGCAACGGTGGCTACGAGCTCGTGGCGGACCAGCTGGACGCCATCTTCAAGCGTCTATCGGGAACCGATCCTGCTCCTCGCCCTGCCCGCAGCTAAGCAAATGTTGCAGTTGATTTGTTCGTTACATGACAGATACACCGAATTCTAACGTCAAAAGAAATTCGTGATGCTGCTTTAGTGCTTGGCTACTTGTGGTGGCATTTTAGTTGCCGTTAGATAGCGCTGTCTTCGATTTCGTAGACCCTTTGAACGGTTCCGATAGCACTCCAGTCTTTTGCATAAGCCAGAGCATCTTACCTGCGTCACTCGAGCCAGGTATCCGCTTCCACTCCACCTTGTGCACCTCCCCAGATGCAGAGCGACATAGTGTAGCTTGTACGGGCGCGAGCTTGCTTGCATCAACTGCCTGCAGTAAACAGTTGATGGCCAAGCTGCCGTCAGCTGCAAAGTACGGCTCCAGGAAGATCGAGCCAACTGCGCGTGCATCGGACACACGACCTTCGCCGATGCAACTGCCATCCCACTCGCCTGCGACCACAAGACGGACACTGGTACGGTCCAAATTCATCGAGCTTTGCTTCAATCCGAACGACAATGCATCGTGGTGTAGTGCCAGTGCTACCTGAGAGCACACCGTCGTCTCCACAAACTCGCGTAGACCCTCCACACCGGACACCTCGCGTTGCGACGCCATCCCTGTCTGAAGGAGAATCCGTGCGCCAGAAATAAGCACCTCCGTGGAGAAGTTCTTGCCGACATTCAAGTCAAAGGCCGACAATGTCGAGTCAAACGCGCACGTTTTCCACCGAGGACTCACGTAGACTCCGCGTACCGAATCGCAGATGGGCTGCAACAAACCATCGTCCAACACGCGACCTGATGCAGAGCTCTGTAGCTTCTGAAAGGCAAGCACCGATGACACCTCGTCCAGATACCGACCTACCTCGTTTTTCAGCAGATTATGTGCGAGGACAGTCAAGACTGTAGCCAGCGTTCCTGGGGTGTTGTCGTGTTTGTCTGTCTCGCTTGCAGGACCCATGCCTGCAGCACCTGCACCCGAGTTGCTAGAGTTCACGCCCCCTCCAGAAGTCGTCGAAATGTCCGAGCCTGTGTACAGCAACGCCCGAGAGATATCCTTTCGACCGTGACGAGTTCTTATCTCTTGCTGCAACAGCAGAAGTGTATACCGACAAGTCTGTGTCAAGAAGGCTTCGTCGCTGTCAGCGGGGGTTGAATACGAAATGGATGCGGCACGTCGCGGCTTGCCTGGACTGCTGGTCGGCACCGGAGCATCCTCTACTAGAGGCTCTTCCTTCACATCTACGACATCTTGTTCACCATTAGCTGCCTCTTCTGTCGCCTTCTTTTCCTCCGTCGTCACGTCCTTGTTCTTTGACAAACTCTTTACGTCTACCAGCTTGATTGTCAGGTGGTATCGCTCATTCACACGGAGTTGGATCTCATCATCCAATACGTGCAGAACGGAAATGTGCGTGTCAGTCGAGCTGTCGTCCCTGCCATGTTTCTTCACCGCATACTTGCTGATATTGTACGCTGTGTCTGTCCACTTAGACGTATTCTGAAGCGCCTCCTTCATCAGAGTGCAAAACAATTCTTCACAGAACACAGAAAACTGTACGGCCTTCAGAATGGACACGTTGCGCTCCTCCAGAGTCTTCAGATCTTCGGGTGTGTCCTCCAATTTATCCATCTCTGCCTTGGTCCTGCAATACCCTTTACCCGTTAATACTGCGGCCATACTTTATTCATTAGCACCATAACAGAATCGTACATAGGAACAAGATGTGGAGATGGCAATGTGAACGCTCCCTCCTTCCCGGTGTCCTTGGCTTCTAGTTTGATCTAGCTCCACCAATTAAATACCAGCAAGTTGAGTCAGATACATTCGACGTAGCAAACAAGACTGCAAGTTTGTTCTTACTTGGATCGCGCGCGCTAGGAAATCTTCAGGCGTCTTGACACGAACAAGACCCTTCTCAGTGCGACTCAGCTAACAACGATACCACGACAATATTTCTATCAGTTAGTAGTGAATAGAAATACTTATCGCTGCTGCAACTATACCTCAGCATACGCGAGATCCGCGATAGATCGGGTCTGCGGCACGAAGAAGGATCCCGCTGCATACGCATCATAGCACGAGCTTAGAAAGAGATATTTTTCATGAATCCAATCAAAAGTTCACTCACCGCTACCGTAGCTGCAGTCCACCGCCAATGGTTCGCCCGCACGGAACGGCTTGGGGATGTTACCGTGGATTGGAGCGCAAATCTTCCACTTGCGCAGCATCTGCGTGATGCCCTGGAAAAACACACTTTCCTTCTCCACCGTCTTGGCCAGCGCTTCGACACCATCCAGTAAAATCGCGCCGCTCTCCTTCACTTGCGCTTGTTTCGCCTCCACAAGATGCTCCAGTTCCTCTCTCTTGGGCGCCGTATTTTCACGAATACAGCGCATTTCCTCCAAAAAGTCACGACGACGAATTAAATCAATAGAATTGATGAGCTGGTGCAGCTCTGCAACTGCTGCCTGAAGCTCCGCCACCATGGGGCGGTAGTGAATTCTCGGATCGATGACGTCCTCTTCCTCGTCGGCATCTTCTACGGTCTCTTCAAGCTTCTCTACAGTTTCAGCGGTCTCCATAGACTCATCTGTGTCCTCTGTCTTCACCTCGTTGTCCTGCTCGTCATCAACATCCTCCGTCTTCATTTTCTTCTTTTTGCGGTCAGTGCGCACGCGTTCCAACTCCTGGATTGAGTGCAGGAACAGCTGCGCCTCAGTGAACTCCCTGCACGCAATCAACCGGCAATTAGCACTCCAAATTACGTCATTTTGGTCGCAACTAAGGGGAAATTGGCAGAATTATTTACTGTTGGAGGATCTCCTTGCCCTGGTCTGTCACCATTTCCACAGCCTCATAGTCTGCCGGGTAAAGCGTCACGCCCACCGTGTCCGAGCCCTTCTCTTCCATCTTGTACAAGTATTAGTGTTCTAACAATCGATCTAAGCTGTAGCTGCCTTGAAACCGCAGCACACGCACGGCAAGTGGAGCCTGGTCGTCAAGCTCGACGCTTTTTGGCAAATGGAGTGGTCACTGATCCCCGACAACCATTTACCTCCGTTTAGTGACTTATAAGGCAAAGTGCAGCACAATGGAAGACCTTTGCTAGCTGCAATTTTCATTAAAAACTAACCACCTTCCACCTTGAATACTACGACACTATTCACGCTTAGCGACAACTACACGGGCAGTCTTCGCGTTCGACTGTTTTTTGCTTTCTCCCTTTCTCCGGTTGCGCCTCCTCATGAGAAGTTATACTCCCGCTTGGCGTACTCGATGGCTCCCTTGACCATGTTGATGGCACGCACACGATCTTGGCGCAGCACACTAAAGGAGATCAGACCCACTAACTGGCCCTTCTTGTCCACAGCTGCACCACCGCTGAAGCCATTGTCCAGCTGTGCTGCTGTGCGGAGCATCGCCTTATCCACTTCCTCGTCCTCGTACACTTGCGAGTCTGTACCGGAGCAGATCGCATGATGCACTGTGATGGTGTTGTGGCCACTGCTAGGGTAGCCAAACATCCACATCTCGTCGCCAGGCTCCACATTGTTTGAGTTTCCAATGCGTACTGCAGGCAGCTTACCGATCGTTTCTCGGGAAGTGCCCTGAAGCTTCGTCACAGTCCAGTTACGAGCAATAATACGGTCCGTCACGTCGCCAATGTACAATCCACTAGGCGGGTCCGAGATCACCTCGCAATCCAAGCGAAGAAGAGCGTAATCCAGCTCTTCGTTGCAGCATTCAGGGATCACACGTGCATGATACTTCCATAACGGCGGCAACGACGTAGATTCGGTAGGTGCCACTAGAATCATATACTCGTCGCTGTAGATGCAGTCGAACTGCTCTCCTTGCAGACAATGTCTCGCCGTAGCGATAAGACCGTCCTCGTGGATGATGATTCCAGAGCCAACATTGCATAGTTCTCCCTCGTTGGTCAGAATAGCGATGCGAACAGCCGATTGCTGTACCCGACGCACTAGTCCAGCACGGAAATGCTTCATCTCTGCGCGTTTCTGTTTGAATCGAGCCACTGGAGTGATCGGCATGGACTCCATCGACGGGCGCTCGTCATCATCGTCCTCGTTAAAGTCAGCCAGACACGCTGCTGCATTCAGAAGCTTCATACGGGGACCGAACGGGATACCGAGGTCACGCAGGTGGCCAGCGTTCATGAGACACAGCGACTCAATGTCGATCTCCTCTGCTTCAAAAAGAGCCGCGTACTTACTGAGTTTAAGCGACGCCAAGAGACTGGACATGACCAAGAAGCTCTTCTTCTTTTCGGCAGCTTTGCGTGCCGTCCAGCGGATAGCAAACTTGTTATACCACGACAAGTTCTCGAAGCCGATGCCGTTTACTTCACGCTGGAATGCCACGAGAGAATCGCGCTGGGGACTGCTCTCGTCGTCTCCGAACTCCTTGATGTATAATGGCCGCCATGTGATGTCCAATAGCGCTCGCTTGTACCAAAACCGACAGGTCATGGAGGCCAAGCACAAGTCCACGTGGTTCAGATAGCTCAGCATATGCGTGAAGACGCCGCGCGGCACCCAAGCCTTGGAGTGCACGAAGGCGTTCATAGGCGGTTTGCTGCCGGACAGAACCTTGGGGAAGCATGTTTCGCACAGTCTGGATTTGTGTGTGTGGCCTGTTAGCGCTGCCTTAAATCTGGAGCATTTGGCGCAGAAGAGGTAGCCACAGCGACGGCAGCGGTGTGAGCGTCGTAGGAGCGAGAACTTTTCACGACACAAGTTACACGAGTTGGAGGCGTGTTGAGGAGCCCAGCGGTCGCCCCCATAAGAAGAAGCGACTGACGACGGGACCGAGTAGGCAGAAGACGCTGAAGATGCCGACGAGTAGCGGGACACGCGACTCATCTCCTCAAAGCCCGTAGCCGAGCTGATGGTCGAGACCTGGCTGAGGTTAATGTGTCTGGAGCGCTCCGTCGCCGGAAAGCGGCTACCAGTGTTGTTTCCTAGCTGCATGGCCTGCCGAGAGCGCGCCGACAGGTTCAAATTGTTGTATACGGCGTTAGAGCGCGCCGAAAGCGAGTAGTGGCGCTTGTCCTCGTCCATGGAGCTTTAGACACTGAAATCGTCAGAGAAGGACGACAGCAGCCGAGACAGTAGAGTCGCTGAGGCTGCTATGGATGGTGACGATCCTAGCGCCGAAGAAGCGTTTGCTCTTGTCCAGCCGGTCGAGCGATGCTAATGGAGAGCTCTCTCCCTCTCCTCTTCTTCGTGATTGTGGCGGCAGGTCGCTAAGTGCGCCTTAAGTTCGCCAGAAAAACGGACTTTTGGCCAATCGACGTGTCGCAATTCGAAACCGCAAGCACTGACTATCGGCGCGAAAAGGAGCGACGCTGCCTGGAAATCTGCAGCCGCCTTGACGCCGTTGTTGGCTGCATCGCTGGCTTCATTCTGACTAGATGGCCGTTGCAGTGGACTTTCATCGATTTTTGCGTCGTCGCGTGAAAAAGTTTCCGAATGGATACTAAGATAAATCCCATTTACTTACGCGAAAGGCTTAATGAACCAGAGTTTGTTACGAGAGTCACTTACTACATGTAGTTGTACTTCCGTGCTTTTAATGTGTATAAGAAGATATACAGCTCAACCTATGTGAACTTGCATTCGTTGTTCGTACATTCTAAGCTTACGATTATATAAGTGAGACCATCGATTAAATTGCATTACATTCCAAACACCACATATACAGAGCACCGTGAAGTCGATGGTATCCGTTCACCGCGAGCGGATACGGATCGGCCAGCAGTAGTCGATCTATCGTTGTTGTGGTCCACCGTGTGGTCAACAACCTTGTGAACAGAGTGGTCAACCCCAAGCTCAGCCGTCATGTGATTGAAAAATTGCAACCCCTACAACATTAGCCCTTGAACAGGTGGCCCCCACGCTTCGTCTACGATAAGTGTGCGTGCCAGCAAGCACGTGCAGGATTTCCATCGCAAATCGAGTTGTTGAACTCGTCGTGACGATCTTGCCACGCGGCATTTTTGTGTGTCGTGCCACACCACCATATTATCTTTGTGCATAATGTTTTGGCCAATCAACGTACGTGTTTCAGCAAATTGTCTTATCAAGGTATCGATTTTAGCAGTTTGGTCCGACCAAGAAAAACCCCCAAATTCAGCAAGATTCATTTCTATTGAAGGAATGTATTCGACAGGACATGGATTCTCGCAGTCAGCCGTTACGTGGGGCATCCGTCCGCTAGACGCACGCTTGCATTTCGAGTTTGGTCACCACCCTCACCCAAGCCCCTAAGTTCTCAAGCCCCTTAATACATCGTCACTATGGCCCCCAAGAAGACTCACGAGGACGCCGGCATCTCGGAGAACGAGGTTCGCGCTCTGCTCATTGGCAAGGACGGAAACCTGACCCGCGACTTCGAAGCTGTCCTTACGCGGCTCTTCATCTCGTTCCTGGAGAAGCCCACGGACAAGAGTCTGACACTGGACAAGCTTAAGGACTTCAGCAAGATCTGTAACGATGGCAAGCCCTTCTCGGATGAGGAGATCAAAGAGATCCAGACCTACTTCCAGTGCGACGAGAACAAGGGCCTTACGCTCAAGGGTTTCAAGGACATGTACCACACCCAGTCTAGCGCCGAGCCCATGGAGACCTGGCGGGACATGAAGAAGCTCGGGTACGAGTATCCTTATTATCTCTATCTAGACTGCAATGGTGTACTAACGTTCTTTTTCTTCTTTTTATTGCAGCTATGACAAGGAGCTTCTCGAGAAGCGTGAGGCGGCTCTCCGTTGCCGTGTGTGCAAGGCCCCGTCCACGCTCGTGTGCTCGCGCTGCAAGGCTGTGCGATACTGCGGTGCTGATTGCCAAAAGCAGGACTGGAAGGCCTCCCACAAGCAGAAATGCAAGCCGTCCGCGGTCTAAAGCACATGTCCAAAGCGCACTCGAGTTGACAACATCTGCACGAAGTTCATTCCCCAACTAGCAACTGACGTCAAGCAAAGAGAAACAGAGGGCAACAAAGACAGAGAGGAGGAGGACAAAAAGACAGAAAGAAGGTGGCGACAGCAGGATGCAGCGCAGAACTCGAAGGAGAGAGACTCACGCGCCTGCTGGGCGCTTCGTTAGGATAGATGCCGTTCGCAAGTTTGTGTATGATCGAGAAACAAGAAACAAATTCATCAAATAGCGTAATACACAAGTGTGAAAGCTACAGAACAGTCGTGCCATGAAGTGGATACCCATGAGAAACAACAACAAGACGTGGCGATCGTGACGTTGCGCACTTGAAGTTCACATTTGCCGCTTTTGACTATTTGTGGTGCACACCAAGTATTATGTGGGGCACACGATAAAGTCAGATCAGATATACGGACAGCAATGTTGCTGTTTTAGTCAATCTCGACGAGATTCTCACGTGGAGATTCGCCTATTATTTTTAAACTAGCCGAGCGCCGCCGCTACGCGGCGATAAATTAGGTTTAGTTCTACACGTTTTGGCATCCCCGCCTCGGCGGGATAGCTATTGAAAAAAAAACGCTGAACCCACGTGTACCTAAATCGATTTTTTTAAATTTATTAATTTGGGTCAGCATCACGCTTACCAGATTTAAGAAATAAATATTCTAATGATCTTATATCAAGATTCTTGATGCAATCTCTTTTTTATTGCTGGCTATCAGTGTATCTTCATCCTCCATCCAAAACCACCAGCACTTTAAATAACATTCATACAAACGCTACACAATATATTTAGTTTAGCGTTGTGCTCGATATTACGGGCCATTTCTGAGCCGCTATAAAACTTAGCTCACATCAGCGCAAACGATAGTAATGGCCTGTCCAGTTTGCACTACTGATTAACACCTGCCTGCACTATCTATTTCAGCTTGTACGTAGCTAAAGATTGTTCACTTCTCATATCAAACTAAAACAAAATATTCGAATTTTACTATTTTTAATGTATGTGGCGTATTTTGTGCTGACTCAGAATTAGCATTCGAATCTGTGTCAGTTATGATTGAAGCACTTAGATATTGTGTCGCAAGATGCCTTGCTGCTGTTGCTGTTGACGGTAGTGTTTTCTATTTGATAATTTAACGATGATTCAAGGATTATTGGACGTCATTTAGGCTCCAAGTTTAATAACGTTTCTTTATGGTGTCTGCTTCGCCAACTATAATTAACACCTCTCGTGTTTGTTGATATATTGCCGCTCCATTCATACGGGTGTCCTACGCCCCTGTCGGCGACCCGTCCGCCAGCTATAAAACAATGTTTCGTAATATTCTGGTCACATGTGTTATAAGCAGCTACGACTTATTTAGTAACTTACTAAATATGAATGTATTCTACTTTTTACTACATATAAATGTTTTCTACTTTTGTACTCATAATCAAACTTTACGTAAGATACTGTTCGCAAGTGTTGTTGTTAAATTAGAGCTCTATACTGTACTACGATCTTGTTGGCTACCCGCCTGTCCATAAAGTAGTTTCTTTCTTCGCAACATACCGATAAGATATTATCTGTACTACGCGGCACAACTTTTTTTTAACAAATATAATATCGCTTATTAAATTTTACTGAGCGCCTTAAGTAACAAAAGAGAAAAAATTAAAGGAACATATTGAGAGCCAAAATAACAGAAGAGAAAGTGTAAATTATATTTTGAGCCAATGGTAATACTTTACATTGTACCCATTTAGATGTCTAGCTTAACCTTCTTCGAGCGACGACGTCGCTGCATGCGGTAGCGGCGGCGGAGGTGGCGCTCGTGCTCTGTGCAGGGTCGTGGTGGCGAAGGAGGCGGTGGAGGCGGTGTGCCCATAGCAACCGCCAGTGCGAACATCCGCTGCTCGCGCTGGTCAGGCTTCGGTGGTGCTGGGGCTGCATCGAAGCGGTGCCAATAGGCCCGTGCGTTGGGCCCATTGGCACACGCAATGCAGCGACGCCCTCCAGCTCTGGCGGAGCCATCTGCAAAAGCGTCCCACGAAAGGAACGCTTTGCAGCAGGCACACAGCCCGAGCGCCAGCCCAAGTCCGTCAAGGTCAATCGGCGGTGGCACCACATGGGCCTCACAGGTCCGGCAATCAATCGGCTCCATTTTGTGAAATGTAAGATGAAGGTTTGATAAAAGCATTTTAACCAATTACAATAATTCGTATTTTATCCAATTACAACTAAGATATCTCAGCCACTCATTAATGTCACATTTCCACCAATCGAAGCCACCTTCGCTCCGCTCGGCAGCCAATGGGAAGGCTCAAAAATCTGAGCGTTTCGTGTGACGGACGGACGGACACCGTGCTAGCCTTGATAGTTTAGGACTAGCCGTTCGCCGCCGCTATGCGGCGGAGTGGCATGATTTGTTGGAGATGCGGTGGCCGCAAATCTAAGTGTTTCGTGGTGTCGCGTGCTTTGTGAGCGTCGTTCACCCCACTACATCGTGGCTTCGTGTACTTAACGATTTACCTTTTCGAGTCTCATCCGGCCCCGTATAATACTGTAGTTTCAATTTGCGAGCGCACATCAGTGGAATACGCGCTGAAAACGTTGATAGACATACAACATGATTTAGCTTATGTCCCAATGAGTGAGTGTACTTGTCGTCTACGTGACGTGTATGCGGATAGGAACGGCCAGCTTGCGGCTGCCCACAGTAGATACCATGTGCTAAGTATCATATGAAACACGTAACGTTCTTTAGGTGTTGCAACACGCTTGGTAGCGCCACAGTCAGCTTACAGTATGTGCGACCCCAAGCCTTGCACCGTCAGCCAGTATACAAAACTATGCGGGGTAATGTAATGGGCCCAACTCCAATTACATAAGTAGGTAGATATTTCTTTAGTTATTACATAAGTAGGTAAAGTGGCACACGGGTAGCGTGTGCCAAGGTGTCATCATCTGATTGGTTGATAGTGAGGAGCCATACTCACTTATTGACCAATCAGATATAGACATGTGTTTGAGTGGTTCACACGAGGCCAGGGGTAGCCGCCCTGGTCCTAAATAAATCAGAGTTGAATTCGACACAAACCTAAGACTTGGTTTTATTATTGCGAGCTTCCTCCGCATTACAGTGTAAGCTAGTAACGGTATCTCTTACCCCGTTACACCTGGTAGCACTTTGTAGTCCTTCCACCGACCAAGTCTACGATGAGCCAAGTCCAGATCTCCGGGGCGACCCTGGAGCATGCTGCATTCCCCCATCTCACTCGCGTGGAGTGGGAAGCGCTTCACCGCCTCGTGGCGGTGTCCGGAGACGCTGTCGTCGCATCGCTGCTGAGCTCAGCGACGCCCGACCAGCAACGTCTTGCAGCACAAGAGTTCATGGAACGCGAGCTCACCGATGCGAATCGGCGGGTGTCAACTCCCTCGCGTCCATCCCAGAATGACGTCGTCAAGATGGAGACGTCTACGTATTCTGGCGCCGGTGAAAACCGGCTTCCGCTAAATCGGTGGTTCCGCGAGATCGACATCGCTATCGCCTCGCGACGCATCGAGGCGTCATCGGCCAAGATGAACTTCCTCCTCTCCCGGTTAACCGGGAAGGCCAAAGAATGGGCCCTTGGGAAGCTGGTTGTCGACCCCGAGGCTTTCCCGACTCTGGAAACTCTCCAGAGCGACTTGCGCCTCGCGTTCGAGCCCCCGCAAGATGAGTCTCGCGTTCGCGCAGAGTTCTTCGCTCTGCGGCAAGGGCAGATGTCCATGCGTGATTACGTCCAGAAGACGCGACATCTGGCGTCATGCATCGTGACCAAGCCAATCGACATGGCCTCGCAAGTCCACGTATTTGTGTTCGGCATGCGCGAGGGTATGACCCGCTACTGCCTCACCAGAGCTGAGCCCTCCTCTCTCGAGGAGGCGTTTGCACTCGCGATTCGCGAGGATTACATGGGTCGCTGCATCGTACGCCGCAGCCATACCTGCGGAAGCCCGAGAGTCTACCCCCGAGCCCATGGAGATCGACGCCATCAACGCGTCGAGCAATCGACGTCGCGGGTCCTACCGCGGCAGCGCTGGGCGAAGCAATCGCCCCCTCATTTGCTTCCGCTGTGGGAAGAAGGGTCATCGCGCGGCGGAGTGCCGCGCGCCAGCTCCCGTCGTCTCTCACGTCGACGCGGAACACTCCTCGGTCGCTCATTCAAAAAAACGACCAGGACCAGTAGGTGCGGGGCGCCCTACTGGCTTTAACGAAGGACCGGGCCCTCCGGTGGCAGACCAACCTTCGAGCCCTCCTGTGCTCCAAGCACACACCAATGCCACCACTACGCCGGGCGACTCGAGACTGATCATTGTCAGCCTCCACGTAACCGGTGCCCGGCGACCACTGCGCGCGCTCCTTGACTCAGGAGCGACCAACAACTTCTTTCGCGCATCGTGTTTGTCGGTACTACCCAAGAACGTCCGCGTCCGGAATGGTCCGGGCGAGATCCAAGTCAAACTCGCAGATGGTAAGGCTCGCCGCGTCGCGCGGCGTGACGTGTCTTTGTCGTACACGTTCGACGGCTTCCGTAGCAAGGACGACTTCTTGGTGATCGAGATGAACTACGCGTTTGACTGCATCCTGGGCATCCCTTGGCTTGCGCGATATCAGCCAGAGATTGACTGGCTGGCCCAATCAGTCAAGCGTCGACGTGGATTCGACGTGAGCGAGGTCTTCACACACCTCTTGGTGGCGCCAAGAGACTGGCCCCACGTCACAGTCGTAGACAAAACAGCAACGACACAAGCAGTGCACAGAGCGAGCGATGGCCCTCTCTGCATGGCTTGTGCTACGTTGTTGGACGAAGAGCCCTCGCGGTTTCGCGAGGTAGATGATGAGGTGGTTGAGCAGCGGCTCCCACAGTACAAGACGGTGGTCGAGCAGGGGCTCCCACAACACGAGATGATGGTCGAGCAGGGGCTCCCACAACACGAGACAGTGGTCGAGCAGGGGCTCCCACACAACGAGACGGCGGTAGAGCAGAGGTTACCGCCGAACGATTCGGCGGTCGAGCA